CGCTCGCCATTCACTTCTACATGATAAATAACATATGGATATTAATTATTAACATAGCGTCAGTTTTTATTAATAATAATTTAATTAAAAATTGACAAAACCATTTGTTTATTTTTCTTTGAAGACTGTTTTAAATGTGACTAAAGCTAAAATTTGGACAAATTTTGGTTATTATGAACAAACGTTCTTCAGTAACGTTAGACGCCCATAGAATAATGTTCTCAAAACGATAACATAAAAATAGTATTTCTATAGGCTTTTTATTATTTCTGTTAAATAAAATCATCTTTAAGAAATAATAATAATAAAAAAAAAATGCATGAAAGTGGAAACTGAGAGATCTTGTTCCCCAGTCATCATTCGCTTTCTCACAGTCTTCAGGTCACTTTTCTTTGAAAGCCTGACCTATTATCCGTTCTCAATGGGTTAATTGTGTTAGAATTGCGATCACGCTGATAATGAACAGTAAACAGTAGCCTAATAAAATACACAATTGTCGAATTAGTGATTTACAGCTTTTCTATGGGAGTGAATCCAGGAGTAAACAGGCCATCTGGAATATTATTACTGGAGTAGGAACTGCCTTATATGGGAATAAAATGTGATTATAGATACTACTATAACTGCTTTATGTAAAGATTTACACTCTATCTATCTATCTATCTATCTATCTATCTATCTATCTATCTATCTATCTATCTATCTATCTGTCTATTTCTATCTATCTGTCTGTCTATCTCTCTGTCTATATGTCTGTCTATCTCTCTATTTATCTGTCTATCTCTCGATCATCTATCTATCTATCTATCTATCTATCTATCTATCTATCTATCTATCTATCTATCTATCTATCTATCTATCTATCTATCTGCTCATTCTGTTTGATTCAGATTTGTTAGATCTAAAAGATTTAGTTGTATTGTTTCCCTGCATGAACACAACTGAAATAACTTATGATGGAATAAAGTTGATCTTTTAAACTAATACTTTTCGAATGTAAAAATAAATGAATATAACCCAATATTTCCAGTGCAGCTCGTGCTTCGAGTCGTTCTTCATGAGGAATGTGTGCCTGAGCCGTGGATCTGCATCAGAAGAATGTATAATGTCCCTCCTCTGTTCTGCCATTGCCTTTTTAGGCTGTGTTTTAATTAGCGTGTAAACAGAGGCAGAGCAGGGAAATGAGGAGTTGTGTGTGTGTGTGTGAGCAGTCAGTGATGAGAAGTTCCTCAGTGTGACTCTGAAACTGTAGAATTATTTCTGTGAAGTGCTGTTATATTGCTCTATAGGATGAGAAGGTTGTGTATTAGCTCTCTGCAGGACCGCCGCACAGCTGGCTCCTCTTAATGTCACATGGTCAATGTCTGGATGCAACAAAGATTGTATCTAAAGGTGTAAAAATAACAATATAGACCCATTTACTCACTCTAAACTCGTGCAAAGTGAAGGCTAATCCACTGTAAAAGGAGTTGCATTGAAACAAGGGTTGCTGGAGAATAATAAGAGCTGCCATCTAGTGGCAAAAAGCTGAAACACTGCACATATGATGAGTACATTTTCAACAACTCATATATATATATATATATATATATATATATATATTGTACATATAAATACATATGCATGCATGTATATATTTTAGAATTATTTGCACTTAAATTCTGTGTGTATATATATATATATATACACACACAAAATCTATATTATATAAATATTTTATATATGAGTATTTATATATACAAAATAATTATATACAGCACACACAAATATATTATGTAAACAAAGACTTATTTTGGATGCGATTAATCGCAATTAATTTTTGCACAGCCCTAATATATATATATATATATATATATATATATATATATATATAATTAGAGCACTGAAAAGATGATATGAACTAATACATAAATAAACTTTGTAGCCAAAAACAGGTAAACTTAAGTTATTTATTTCTGTCTTACATGAGAAACACTCGAGCAAATGATTGCTGGTGCAGAAAACCAAACATGGAGACGTCATCTATATTTATATAAATATTCTGACACAGGAAAACACAAAACTGCACAGAGGTCAGTGATATAACATGCTACACACAGGTAAACACACACACACACACACGATTCCCAACCTGTAGGATGTTGATAAGACTTAGTTTTGTTTGTGTATAAACCTGTAAAACAGAAACAGAAAGTGTGTGTAATACATCCACATGTGTGTGTGTGTGTGTGTGTGTGTGTGTGTGTGTGTGTGTTATCGTTCCTGATTTATGTTGACTTTATATGACCGGCCTCCAATACCCGATGTATGTTATGAATATTGAGGACTCTTTGTTCCTCTTTTGCGAGTAACTTTGGATAAAATCATTTTTCATATTTTGTGATTCTTAGAAAGCAAATAATTGTACCAGCGTTGAACGTCCCAGATTTGATTTCTAAACACAGATATCCAGTGTAACACACGAGTTCACAGGAACACGTTTCTGTCCTTGATGACGTTTATGATGGGATACACAAGACAGAACCGGGCTGGGAAACAGAGGTATAACGGGTACAAAAATAAACAAACACAGATAATGTCAGCCATGACGGTCTCAATCTCATCACACACACCTTCTGCTGTTAAAGTGCAGGTGAACCGACGGATAAACACGTGAGCTTTACGGATATGACAGAACAGTCTTGAGCCCCTAATGCCCAGAATGATATCATGTTTTCATGAGCTAGCGTCTACATCTGAACAGTGGTGTTATTTGTGGCACACAGAAACCGCAAACACACGATTCGCGAGATGTAAAGACTTGGTAAACCTGCTCACACACACACTTGGAATGATTTGGCTATGAAAACTGTGCCCAGCCCTCCATAATCATTCATAATCACGTCAACACAATAAATAAATAATGTAGTTACACACAAACTCAAGTGTCCTTCTGCATAAAAATACAATTAAACAATAAACATTTCCTTCTGCATGTTATTGCATTTAACAGATATTGATTTCTCAAGTCAAAACAAAAATATCTATAAAACGTAGACATTTAAATAAGTGCCGGAGTCGTGTACCGCTGACTAAATACAGACCCATGTGCTGCACACACTCTCCGTTCTTTGGACTTGCATTGTGTAAAAAAATACGAGAGTTAGTTGATAACGCGGTTTGCATAGTCCAGCCTGTGTCCGTACGGGAAAGGCTTCGGGAAGAAACTCAGGCACCGAGTGTTGTTTAAAGTGTTCGGGATGGAGCGGATGGGTCAGTCTTGACTGTTAGTGTGTGTGTTCTGCCTGGCCGGAGCGCTGGGGCCTGTATATGAAGGTCAGGAGGAACAGGGCCACATCATGGGACGTCCAGTAGGCCGTGTGTGAGGTCACAGCTGACCAATAGCGGCTCTCCACCAAACCCTCCCGAAGCTCATAGTCCATGCGATGCTCCATCTCCACTGGACACACACACACACACACACACACACAACAGCAGAAAAGAGTCATGTCTACGTGAACGATCCTTCAATCGCCGGTCAAGATGACCCAAAGCATGGAGATTATACTTGTTCAGAAAGATTCTTATTTCATTCTCATTATATATATATATATATATATATATATATAAATAATGTAATTTTTTGGGAGATTTTTATTTTTTTGTCCAGATAGCTTGTATTTCATTTTCATAATATGTTTTTTTTTTAAGTAATTTTTTTTGGGAGATTTTTTTCTTTTGTCTAAATAGCTTCTTGTATTTCATTTTGATAATATTTTTAATGCAATTTTTTGGGGGAGATTTTTATTTTTATTTTTTTGTCCAGAAAGGTTCTTATATTTCATTTTGATAATATTTTCTATTTATTTTTTAATGTATTTTTTTGGGGAAATTTTTATATATTTTTTTTCCAGAAAGGTTCTTATTTTTTATTTTTGTCCAGAAAGCTTATATTTCATTTTGATAATATTTTTCTATTTTTTAATGTAATTTTTTGGGAGATTTTTTTTATTTTTTTTTTTTACAGACAACTTCTTATATTTCATTTTGATAATATCCTTTAATGCAATTGTTTTGGGAGATTTTTTTTTCTTCTTCATTTTGATAATATTCTAGATATTCTAATATTCTAAGATTCTATTTATTTTAATGTAATTTTTTGGGAGATTTTTTATTTTTTGGCCAGAAAGCTTATATTTCATTTGGATAAAATTCTTTCTATTTTAAATGTAATTTTCTTTGAGATTTTTTTTTTTTTGTCCAGAAATCTTATATTTCATTTTGATAATATTCTTTCTATTTTTTTGTTATTTATTTTGAGAGATTTTTATTTTTATATATTGTTTTTGTCCAGAAAGCTTATATTTCATTTTGATAATATTTTTTCTATTTTTAAATGTAATTTTCTGGGAGATTTAATTTTATTTATTTATTATCCAGAAAGCTTCTTATATTTCTTTTTGATAACATTTTTAATGCATTTTTTGGGAGATTTTTGTTATTTTTATTTTGTTTACCTTTAAATTATTAGACTTAAATAGTTAAATAATAAATAAATAATAAAAAAATAAATTATTTGAGCACATTCTTCACATTCTCTCAACTTAAAATCAAAACAACTCACAATCTCATGCCTAACCCTATTAATTCAGCTGTAAATATCTCACATTGGGTGTGTTTGCCGACCTCTTGTGGAAAAAAATAATATATCTTGATATTTCATGACTCTAGATGGCCTCATAGCTCTATATGCAGCAAATGAGCCGTTCCACTGGGTCCTAACTTCATTTATCTTCAGTATGCATTCAGATACACATACACATTATAAAATCATTATTTTTGGTAAAGTTTGAGCATTTTTAGTTTTTTCTGTGTCTACTGAAGCAATCCACTCATTCCTGTGGGTGAAGGATTTCCGAGTGAAGGATTTCTTACTTTTTAAATTTTTAAAATCACAAAACTCCTCGAATCCATGCAAAATTAATGTGGTTTATTAATGGTTCAAGAGAAACAAAACTCACAAGGACCCCTCTGATGAACTCACACAAACGAAGGATTAGGGTTTAGGTCAAACATACACTGAGATTTAGAAGTTTGAATTGTTAAAGTATAGTTTACACTAGTCATGGGCATTTATTTGTATGCTTATGCATAAATGTTACAGTTTATTTGCATTTTTTCTAATTTTACAATTGTTTAAAGCAATGGTTCTCAATTATTTGTCTCATTGTGTAACCCTAAATTTGAGCCTCATATATATATATATATATATATATATATATTAACTTTGTTGTAATTGTTTTTATTAAGGTGGCATTATTTTGATCAAAAATAGAGTAAAAACAGTAACATTGAGAAAAAGAATTACCATTTAAAAAAAAACTTGAATAATTCACAATATATTCACACATAGCGAAATCCCTCGGAGTTTGCTATGTGTGAATATATTGTGCATTAAATGAATTAACCATGATTCAGTTCAAGAACTGGGCTTAAATAAAAATGTTATTATTTTGTGTTTTTACCATTTTAATTTAGATTATTAATTTAGAGTTTTGAATATATATGTATATATATACATACATACACATACACACACACACACACACACTTCACAAAAGTTTGGAATAATTAAGATGTTTCATATATTTTTGAAAGACTTCAACTCACCAAGGCTGCATTTATTTGATCATAAATACAGTAAAAACAGTGAAATATAATTACAAATTTAATATGATGTGTTCTCTATGTGAATATATACTAAAGTGTAATGTATTCCTGTGATCAAAGCTGAATTTCCAGCATCATTACTCCAGTGTTTAGGGTCACATGATCATAAATAACAACAGCATTTGTTTGAAATCTAAATTATAAATGCCATCACTGTCACTTGAATGTGTTTCACACCATAGCTGGATTCATCAGCTCACCGTCGCATTAACACACACACACACACACACACACACCGTTGGCTGTACACACCTGCTGCGTCGAATACAGAGGAGGATGGCGATATGGCTGAAAATGAGAAAGTGCTTTGGCTATCCTCACTGTCACACATCCCAGAATCCCCGGCTGACGGCAGGCTGGGCGAGCGAGAGAAGCGAGAGAAGAGGATCCCGCCGATGCCCTTGCCGATGCTCGCCGCTCCTGCACACACACACACACACACCAGACGCACAGGTTAGCAGACGACACAGTCACAGTCTTACTCAATGTTTTCCACTCTAAAATTCATCATAATTCACAGCATCTCTCTTTTTTCTTCTTCTGCTGCCTATCAAGTCCCCATGAAATCAAAATTGACTTTTGAAATTGCAGTATTTATAATAAATGATTTATCTGTCCAACAAATTTATGTTGTTGGTCGTTCGGATCTGATGAAGGACCTGCGCCTGGACATGACGACGACGCAGTTCTGAAGTGTCAACTGGTAACTAATGATCACTGTGACGTTAGCTTTAGCTGGACAGTAACTTTATTCTAGAGCTGCTGTAATCTCCTGTTCTCACTGTAAAGCTGCTTTGAAACAATTCATACAGTTAAAAGCGCTGTATAAATGAAGGTGACTTGACATGTACCCAGTATGCTGGCCTTGCCCAGGTTGGTGATGGACTCCCCGTAGTGTCGACTGGCCAGGACAGGTGAGGTGCTGGGACTGTTCTCGGTGTCGTTACTGACGTTTATATACGTGGGTCTGATCTCATCATATGGACAGGAGTTGATGGTGTTACACCTTCAAAACAACATCAAAATCAACATTAAAAATCATATCAGAAAATCCCAAGACACAGAATTATTGCCAATGTAACCTTTAAACCAGTGATTCTCAACCAGGGGTCTGGGGCAAACTTCCAAACATATTTACATTAATAATAAAACTATATACACTACTGGTCAAAAGATTGTGATTTTGAAAGAAGTGTCTTCTGCTCAGATTAATTTTAATCAAAAGAAAAAAAATACCATTTTAAATAATTGAATGCGTGTAATTAATTCCTGTGATCAATCTGAATTTCCAGCATCATTACTCCAGTCTTCAGTCACATGATCCTTCAGAAATCACTCTAATATGATGATTTTCAGCAGGGAGGTGTTAAATTGATCAAAAATGACAGAAAAGATTTCCATTTCAAATACATGCTGTTCTTTTGCACTTCCTTTTCAACAAAGAATCCAGAAGATCATGTAAAAATAAAAACAAAAATACAGCAAAAACTGTTTTCAAGAACCATTATTAATGATTGATCATCAGAAATAACCAATAAAAACTGATCATAAATCAGATCCTCATATTAGAGTGATTTCTGAAGGATCATGTGACTCTGAAGACTGGAGTAATGATGATAAATTCAGCTTTGATCACAGGAATACATTATATTTAACATAGAAAAGTTATTTTAAACAATAATAATATTTCAAAGCATCTCTGTTTTTAATGCGTCTTTGATCAAATAAATTGATGAGCATAAGAAATATATAAGAAAATCTTAATTAGTCCAAACATTTGACCAGTAGTCTAAAATGGTAAAAAAAAAAAAACACACAAAAAAACAAAAACAAAAATCAACTTTTTTTAAGCACATTTTTTAAACATTCTGAAATCAGCAGCTGAATAGTGGTTACTTAATTTAATACACCAACACTTAAAGTGTTCCAACCAGTGTTGTAGTCGAGACCACCTCACTCGAGTCCGAGTCGACACCGAGACCAGAGAGAGTCGAGTCCGAGTCAAGACCGAGTCCATAGAGAGTCGAGTCCGAGTTGACACCGAGTCCATAGAGAGTCGAGTCCGAGTCAAGACCGAGTCCATAGAGAGTCGAGTCCGAGTCAAGGCCGAGTCCATAGAGAGTCTAGTCAAGACCGAGTCCATAGAGAGTCGAGTCCGAGTCAAGACCGAGTCCATAGAGAGTCGAGTCCGAGTCAAGACCGAGTCCATAGAGAGTCGAGTCCGAGTCAAGACCGAGTCCATAGAGAGTCGAGTCCGAGTCAAGACCGAGTCCATAGAGAGTCGAGTCAAGACCGAGTCCATAGAGAGTCGAGTCAAGACCGAGTCCATAGAGAGTCGAGTCCGAGTCAAGACCGAGTCCATAGAGAGTCGAGTCCGAGTAAAGACCGAGTCCATAGAGAGTCAAGTCCGAGTCAAGACCGAGTCCATAGAGAGTCGAGTCCGAGTCAAGACCGAGTCCATAGAGAGTCGAGTCCGAGTCAAGGCCGAGTCCATAGAGAGTCGAGTCAAGACCGAGTCCATAGAGAGTCGAGTCAAGACCGAGTCCATAGAGAGTCGAGTCCGAGTCAAGACCGAGTCCATAGAGAGTCGAGTCCGAGTCAAGACCGAGTCCATAGAGAGTCGAGTCCGAGTCAAGACCGAGTCCATAGAGAGTCGAGTCCGAGTCAAGGCCGAGTCCATAGAGAGTCGAGTCCGAGTCAAGGCCGAGTCCATAGAGAGTCGAGTCAAGACCGAGTCCATAGAGAGTCGAGTCCGAGTCAAGACCGAGTCCATAGAGAGTCGAGTCCGAGTCAAGACCGAGTCCATAGAGAGTCGAGTCCGAGACCAGAGAGAGTCGAGTCCGAGTCAAGGCCGAGTCCATAGAGAGTCGAGTCCGAGTCAAGACCGAGTCCATAGAGAGTCGAGTCCGAGTCAAGGCCGAGTCCATAGAGAGTCGAGTCCGAGTCAAGACCGAGTCCATAGAGAGTCGAGTCCGAGTCAAGGCCGAGTCCATAGAGAGTCGAGTCCGAGTCAAGACCGAGACCAGAGACGACGGTCGAGTCCGAGTCAAGACCGAGTCCATAGAGAGTCGAGTCCGAGTCAAGGCCGAGTCCATAGAGAGTCGAGTCCGAGTCAAGACCGAGACCAGAGACGACGGTCGAGTCCGAGTCAAGACCGAGTCCATAGAGAGTCGAGTCCGAGTCAAGGCCGAGTCCATAGAGAGTCGAGTCCGAGTCAAGACCGAGTCCATAGAGAGTCGAGTCCGAGTCAAGACCGAGTCCATAGAGAGTCGAGTCCGAGTCAAGGCCGAGTCCATAGAGAGTCGAGTCCGAGTCAAGGCCGAGTCCATAGAGAGTCGAGTCCGAGTCAAGACCGAGTCCATAGAGAGTCGAGTCCGAGTCAAGGCCGAGTCCATAGAGAGTCGAGTCCGAGTCAAGACCGAGTCCATAGAGAGTCGAGTCCGAGTCAAGGCCGAGTCCATAGAGAGTCGAGTCCGAGTCAAGACCGAGTCCATAGAGAGTCGAGTCCGAGTCAAGACCGAGACCAGAGAGAGTCGAGTCCGAGTCAAGACCGAGTCCATAGAGAGTCGAGTCCGAGTCAAGACCGAGACCAGAGACGACGGTCGAGTCCGAGTCGAGACCGAGACCAGTGAGGGTTGATTACCTAATTTACTTTTATTTACTTAGAGAAATCCTTTTTTTTTTTACTGAATTTACTTAGAGTTTAAAAAATATGATCAGTTTAGGGTAAAAAGGCCACATAGTAGGTGGTGTTAAAAGTAATTTTATTATAATTTGTCATGCGCAGTTGCGCACTAGAAAATCACCAATCACTGGGCGTGTCAATCAATTTAAAGAAATATTTTATTAACATACATTAATAATCATGAAAAATATTTTTAATTGAACTCGAGTGGACTCGGGAATAATTCCGAGTCCTAAAAAAACAAATGTTCGAGTACGAGTCAATTCCGAGTCCAAATGCACACGAGTCCATGACAAGACCAAGACCATTAAAATATGGTCTCGAGACCGAGTCCGAGACGAGTCCGAGTCTCGAGTACTACAACACTGGTTCCAACAAAGTTAAATAAATATTGGGCTCAAATTTAGTGTTGGACAACGAGAAAAAAAGATTGAGAATGACTGCTTTAAGCAATTCTACAGGAAGGACAAATAAAAAAAAGAGGAAATGAAATGAAACATTTATGCAAAAGCATTCAAACTACACTATACTTGAACAATAACAAATGAAGACTCACCAGTGTATTTGGACAGGAGCGATGTTGCTATAGTGCTTTAAAACAAGAGGCTCCAGTCGATAGGCCTGCAATACAGTGAAACGATTATTACAAAAATGCCAAACTCTCTCAAGTTAAAGCTGCTTTAAGCGACGTCACGTGTTTTTTAGGCCAAAACATTATTAGGCAAACATCTCCTCACTATCCGCTAGCTGCTGTTCCCTGAACACACGGTAAAGAAACTCAAACTCCACAAACAAACTGGGCCAACCCACTGCTCCAGCCAATCACCAACAAGAATGATTTTGGGCGTGTGAAGGAGAGGGAAGACTGAAGAGGTTAGAATTATAACTCTTTAAGTTTGATATGGCCGACACACGACCAAAGAAAAGGAGAAGGACCGCATGAAGTCCCACATTTACACTGGAAAGGCCTTTGAAAGGTGGCGAGATCTCAGAAGAGATCCAGTCCGACATCAGGAGCTCCGTTTCTGCTGGACACAGTCAATCCAGTTTGGGTTTTCTAAACGGACGTTCATGACATCTTGAATGACATCATTCCCTACTTTTACCCACAATCCTCTCTGATTTTGAGTGTAAATCCGATGTACACTCGCTGAAGCATTATTTCCCAGAATCCAATGCATAGAGGACTGAGCGTGCGTGAAAGTGCAGGAGCGAGCGAGTTTAAATCAGAAATTACTTTTTTTTTAATCATTACTTGAATAAAACATTAAAATATTGAGAAAATATCATATAGATGAATGTTAAAATTAAAATGAACTGATATCAATAGGCTCAATTATATAGGTATACATATTTTTTTGTAAGCAATAAGGTACGAGAGGCTGTGCTGTATCGTGAATAAGTAACAGCTGAAGGGCGTTGTTAGGCATTTATTAGGCGTATTAGGCATTTATTAGGGCGTATTAGGCATTATCTAATTAAATATGTGTGAATTTTAGCCTATTAGATAAAGCCAGGTTTAAAATAATATTTTTTCAATTGTGTTCACACACAGTAATAGATGGGGGAAAAATAGATATTTATGGATATCTACTTTTGTTATCCTGTTATCAGATAGCCTTAAATAGATTTTCGCCATGTTTTTAGAAAAACAATGTTATATAAATCAAGCTAGGAATAATATATTTACAAATCCATCTGTAATAGTCTTCATAATAAAACTAGGTAAAAGACTGGACAGTTTGGTGTATTAGGTTTGGTATATAGGTGGTTACTTGATTTAATACACCAACACTTAAAGTGTTACAACAAAGTTAAATAAATATGGGGCTCGAATTTGGTTGGACAACGAGAAAATTTGGTATATATCATATGATCATATGTATATATCATATATATATATTTGGTATATTTCATATGATCATTTTTATCAAGCTTGTATAATTAAGTTCAGTAATTTCACTTAAATGGCACTGAAGACTACCTATTAATTGTCATTTAAGTGAAATTACTGAAATCCTTTCAATTTTTTCTTGTCTGACTCACCTGAATGAAAGTAATTATTCATGATGGGGCTAGCCTGTTCACGCCCATTCGCATATTGCCTTGGCAAACAAAAAAAAGTTTCACAATATAACCCAATTCACGGTTTTATGTGAACGATTAGGAGGATGATTTTCAGATCATTGTGAAGAAAAACCCTAGGCAACAACATCCATTACTCTAAAGTCTTGTGGACACATATTTAGTACGTGTTTTGTGGCCTTATTTCAGAAACTTTCATTTTTAGTTTTTACAATAACCACGCATAGACAATATTCTCTCAAAAATACAAACATGTACATACATGCTGCTCATATATTATGGTAGCCCTGTGTAATTTCACCTGTGCCATTAATATGTTTATAAGCAGCTGAAAGAAACACAGATGTCAGGGGATGTCAGAACATCTCAAGGACCGCAAATACACCTTGGTCCCCAGAGGGTTAAACATTTTAGGCTTATTCTCAAATTCATAATGTGTCAGGGGGGCAGGATTATTACGCAATTTTAATCGGACAATTTGACCGGAGAGATTTGGAGACAATGGAACAACCCTGCACCCAACATCACTTAGGCCGTGTGTCCACCAAAGCGTTTTTAGCCAGCTGAAAACGCTAGACGCTCTGCTGAAGACGCCGTGCTTTGGGCGCTTGAGAGCGTTTTTTCCGTTGAGACGTTTCATTGCTATGATACAGAATACCCGCAGCACAGTTTGAATGTTGACAGTTGGTCGGTGTGGTATTAGTCCCACCCCTCCTCCACTGTGATTGGACGGCTGGGTAAAATGTGACAGTGATGAGTAGGGCTGGGTAATAAATATCGATTTCTCGATATTAATCGATTCTCATTTTTACGAACCGATATCGATTCTTAAATCTCAAGAATCGATTAGTCATCCTGTTTCGTTTGGACGAATGAGACATTGTATCGCGGCTGCGCGCATCCAACAAATCGCAATAATCTTTGTCCTTTGTTACTATTGATATGAAACAAAGTCTCAATTTTCAAATTACGTCCATTTTCTTTAGAAATTCAAAAACATAAATAGTGTTTTGCCGTTTTGGCGTTGTGGCGTGAGATCGCTCTGGAGAAGCAGCAGCGCTGATCTCTCTTCCGGCTTAATAATACCAGTCACAGCGCCAAATAAACATGAATGAGCATCTGAAAGTGTGTTAAAGATAGAGTACAACTTATCGAAATCCCTATCATGTCACATTGATTCGCTCAAACTGCGTTTCATCCGTGGAAAAACGTCAATTAAACAGCTTGTAATCAATGTCATGTATCGTCATATTTACCTCAGAAAACCCACATTAACTCGTTAGTCCACACTCGTTAGTGTTCTTCAATATTTAATGCATATTTGAATAAATCTGGCAAGTTTTTATGACAGCCACCATGTAAATGTTTATATTTCATATAATCTTCTTATTATAAAAATAAATAAAAGTATAATTTAAGTGTTTGTATAGCTATAAAACAGTTAATTATTACCTTCATATTAGGCTAATGAAGCCTAGTAGGCTACAACTAGACTATATTTATAGACCATAGTTTACAGCATTTAAGAGATTTGATTCCCTTGAGAAAATTTGCCATTTATTGTAACTGATATCCAAAATAATCGATATTGAATCGAATCGTAATCGAAATCGAATCGAATTGCAAGCTTGTGAATCGAAATCGAATTGTGAAATTTGTCTCAATACCCAGCCCTAGTGATGAGCGCTGCGTTTTATCCAAAGTTGAACATTTTTCAACTCCCGGTGACCAGTAAAAACGCCGGGCGCTTCAGCGTGAAAAAAAAAAACGCTCAGCGCCTCGGTACGCTCATGCCGTTTAAAAAACGCGGCGCTCCCATTGAAAACAATTGAAAACATACGCCAGGCGCGTGGAAAAAACGCTTTGGTGGACACACGGCCTTAGAGCACCTTTAACAGTCACAGAGGGAAACGTAGTGTGATCGTCTCACCACAGGGTCTGTCGGGTGGAAGATGTTGAAGAGGCGCCGGCAGATGGACTTGGGCATGATGTGGTCCTGGTCGCCGGTGTTCCCGGGCCGAATCCCTCTCAGCGCCAGGAACACAGCCAGAGGAGAGCCCATGCAGAAGAAGTTCTCCACCTGCAGATTCATTATACAGACAAAACAAAAATTATTCAGACACCAGATATCATTTGATATTTTTACTAGTGTGTGCAGGACACTATAGTTCATTAATGTAAGTGAGGAGAGCAAAATAAAGTAAACTGTGACATATTACACCCAGATATTCTTCATTCAGTGACTACCAGTAACATTCATAAACACTTGGGACTAGGGGTGTAACGGTACATGTATTCGTATTGAACCGTTTCGGTTCGAGGCTTCCGGTTCGGTACGCATACAAACCGAACGATTGCTTGGACCATTTTTCTTGCCGGCAAAATTCGTGCTGACGCGGCCAACACAACGTTGCGCAACATCCAAATGGCAAGCGTAATGAAAGCAGAACGAAACTGCGCTCCTCGTTATGTGCTTCACGGATCGTTTATCAGTTCGGACCAGCAACATCTGTGCAGCGCGAGCCGATCTCGATCAAGCAACACTGTTAACACACCGCGCTAAGAGATCCGGTAAAGAAAACATTTGAATTCGCCACTGAGGTAATAACATCGCTGCGAGATCTAGTGAGATGCATTCACATTTCTCCGTTATTAACCGTAGATCTCTATTAGATCAAACAGCGCTGATGTGGAAACCAGGAAAAACATTGTGCCGTGAATGAACTAGTAATACTTTACGTCCACAGACCAGCAACATTCACCATTGATTTAATATCACTAACTGAAACCAGTTTGGCTGGAATGGTGAAATGCTTTCAACTACTTCACACATCTTTTTCCAGCACTTCAAAATTCAAATATTATATAAATAAATATATATTTAAATGTTATTTTTAATGTGATGACCAAAACATTATTTGTTCATCCTTCAAAGATGACCCCCATTTATAAACCTGAAAGTTTCAAGATCTAGGAAAACTCACACTTATTTAAAAATATTTTTTCTTTAAACAAATAGGAAATTTCTCTGGCATTTCTTTCTTTTTGCTGTATCGAAAACGTACCGAACCGTGACTTTAAAACCGAGGTACGTACCGAACCGTGATTTTTGTGTACCGTTACACCCCTACTAGGGACCAAAACTGAGTCCGACACTTTGCCCTGATCGTGTGTTTTTTTTCTGTATTTGCTAATGCTCTTTCTACACACACACTGAACAACATGAAGCATTGCTTGGTCACTGGTTGAGCTAAACTGGTATTATCTAATTGTGTAGTTAAATTCAACAGCTGACCGATATTCATCATAATTCATGTGAAAGTGTTTAACAGAAGGACGGACAAAACCAGCACAATTCTGTTCATATTTATCACCATTTTCTAAACTATAGCATTAGTTTTTCTAAACTATAAACAGTGTGTGAATACATGTTGGTTTGCCTGTATGAAGGCACAGATGTGTTATTTGAGCTGATCCCCATGTTTATGTTCATTACATCACCTTAAACTTTAGCGTAGGGAAGGGTGCAGGTTTCGATGCCTTCAGGCCCTGAAGTTGATCTTGCAGTTCCTGTAACCTGTCACAGACATTGATTACAAGATCTTGTCACTTAGTTAAGAGTGAGTGGTGCTTGTCTATGCAAAACTCAGTTTTACAATTACTACACAGTTGCTCTACTTCTAATTGAACAGAATATCTGAGTGGCGTTTGTCTGTGTTTTCAGATCATCTGTGCTTTTTCTGCTGTTGCCAGATTGCAAACATAAGCAGTAAATCACCGAGAAGAAAATATATCCTTATAAAGTCCCCCTGTGGAGAAAATCCAGCTTTTATGTGGTGTTTTTAATGTGCTTTAAGACAAACATGTGTAAATTCATAAGTCGACAGCATTGCTGAGTATTTCCTCCTTAAAGGTCCCGTATTATGCCCCTTTTCACAAGATGTAAAATAAGTCTCTGATGTCCCCAGTGTGTGTATGTGAAGTTTCAGCTCAAAATTCCCAACAGATCATTTTTTACAGCATGTTTAAATTGTCAATTTTTGGGGCTCAGAAAAACACGCTGTGTGAGAGTGAGTGCCCTTTAAATGCAAATGAGCTGCTGCTGCCGGCACAGGGGGCGGAGCTTCACGAGCTCGCGCTCAGTCTCTCAGGACAATCTCATCGGAATGACGATAATATCAGAAACTCTCAGTAACGGTGTTCATTTCGAGTCGGATAATAATGCCTACAGAGTCAGAGTGCTGTATAGAGAGCCTAAGTCCCGCCCCTCCGCTTCCGGCCCATGGGACCTTATTTCGGAAAAAATATGAATGGTAGTCAATGGCGAGAGACAACTTATCTTTTTATTCCGTCTGAACTGTGCCCTGAATTACACATATGATGTTTGTCAATTTAAAAGATAATTCTGAAAGTCGAAAACGTCGCAGTTTGTCATAAAACAGAAGAGTAACAGTTAGTTTTATGTGAAAATCGCTCTGTGAACTACATCTCCCAGGAAGCGAAACAACGAGTGAGATCCGCTGCTCGTGTGTGTGCAGTCTGGTACAAAACACTCTGGTATGACGGCGTAACGTTACGATTATAACGTAAGACTGTAGAAACAATGACAGACGTTAGCCTCAGTAAAGTTAGCTTCATTCATTGAGAGAAAATGTGCGCCTTTGGGGTTTGTAGTTTTTGTAATATACGTATTTTCACAGTCTTATACCTCAACGGTTTCACATCAAACTGCGACTTTCTCTACTTTAAAATGTATCTTTTAAATTGACAAACATCATATGTGTAATTCAGGGCACAATTCAAACAAGATCAAAATATTTGTTGTCTCTCGCCATTGACTACCATTCAATAATTTTCCAAAATAAGGTCCCATGGTGGTCGACCGGAAGGGGAGGGACTTAGGCTCTCTATAGAGATGGAACAGCTATAGTTTAGTAGTTTAATTACGGTTATTATAACGTATGTCATCTGCTTGTATGTATCCATTATTTATTAATAGCCTACAAGTCTGCAGTGAACCAAAGGCAGTCTCAAAAACACGCTGTGAAATCGCTGGTGTTTCTGACGTCACAAACGACCTTATAACCAATCAGATCAACGTGTGATCATCAACCAGCGGATCTCTGAGCTGAGTGAGAGAATGGAGGCGGGCCTCATTTGCATATTTATACAACCACACATACTAAATGAGGCAAGGGTGTCGAGTTCCATTTTTTTCCAAGGGAAAAAAAAACATTAAAAAAATTAATTCTGGTGCTCAAAGATGGATAAAATGATTGACGGGACTTTTAACTACATTTTAGTCTTGTCAGTCTCATCACCAATAATGCATGATGATATAGTCACAGTGTCACAGTCAAAAAAAAAAATAAACAAAGTCATCACTTTCATTAATAAAATGTACACTACTGTAACTGCTGCTATGAAGCAATTGACCTATGGCTAAGCCCCGCCCCCTCCACTCACTCGGACACACAGTCAACATTCGGGCACGGCCGCTGTCACAGTCGGAGACATTTCCCAGGAGGCAATTGGTGATTATTGGAGACAGAAAGATTATATAACATCTCGCAGTCACCTAAAGGGCTTTAACTATGCATTGGAGGGTTACATTAATAATTGTATTGTTGAGAAGGTCGATGAAAAGCTTCAGCTCCAGGCAGAGATGTACAGGTCACAGTGTAAACGTGATAAACCGCATATCATTGCCATCACCATTTGGTGCTACAGTATTTACATGAATCATTCAGCACAACATTGTTAACATTTGTTATCTCGGTTACTTACAGATACGTTAATGAAGCTAAGTGACATGATGTACAACGCAGCTAGAAGCTAACATTAACGTTTTCTAATGTTAGGCTAACGTTAGCCTAACGTTACGTTAGAGATTTTAAAGATAACGTTCAAATTCATTGTTGACTTAACTTAGAACAGATGTAGACATGTTTAATAATTAATTTAATTATTAAATTATTATTAATTATTTTATTATTATGAAAGTTTAATTAAATTATTTATCCTCGTGTTGTGCTCTACCGCATAACTTAATCCAGAGCAGACACTTATCTCGGTTGAGATGTGGTTTGGGACAGGGTAAAAAAAAAAAAAAAAAAAAAAAAAACACACAACGTCGTGCAGGCTCTCGGGAACCTAGTGTCGTACCCCATTTTAAACTTAAAATAACGAGAAAAAAAACGAATGAAAACTGACTAACTCCAATGCATTTCAATGGAAGCAGAGAATGTCAGAGTGTATTGGGTCAGCTGCGCACTGTGATTGGCTCATCGCGCTTGAGGGCGTGGCTTAGCCATAGGTCAATTGTGACCAGCACTATATATCACTGATGTAGCACTTAACATGAGAATGCTTTAATGATCTAGTATGAGCCAGCGCACCTTTGCCTGGTGAGCTGCACTTCCTCCAGCAGGAGGCGCTCTCCGTAACTCGTCCAGTTCGACTCGTCCCCCTGCAGCTGCTCGTGATGCTCCTGCAGACAGAAGCGCACCGGGTCCCAGCCCGTCATGATGTCGAAGGTGATCACGCAGCCCAGCGAGTGGGAGATGATGGACACTTTGCCGCCTTTCCTCTCAAATTCAGGGTTTCGAGAGCAGAAGAGAGAATACAGGCGGTTGAGCTCCTGCGTCAAACCTTTGGTGATCTGCAAGGATGAACATTAGCATATAAATAAACTAAATATTTGATTGGTCAGCTTTACCCTATATATATATTAGTGCTGTCAAACGATTAAAATATTTAATCGCGATTAATCGCATTAATGTCATAGTTAACTCGCGATTAATCGCACATTTTTATCTATTCTAAATGTCTTTTGATTTCTTTTTGTTACAATATTTTCTCATTTTAATGCTCTTATCAACATGGAAAAGTGGATTGGCTTGTTTAGTGCAAAAGTTTTTTTTATTATTATTATTGAAAATAGCATTGGAATAGTGCTCAAATTCACACTAACATATATAAATAATCTCTCACACAATGTAACATTGTCTATCAATAAAAGGGTGAAAGAAATACTGACGAGGCCCTAATATTGACGAGTGGATGGAGAATTCGCATCATCTGTGTGTGTGTTAGGGGTGGCACGGTACATGAAAAAACACCCGAACCGTTCGGTTCGCTTGTTTCGGTTCGGAGCGTGTGTGCGTCTCACGGTTCGACGCATGCGCAATGTAACCTCGTGCCCGTATGTGACGTGTGTTTTCTTTTCGCGCGACATATGCTTGTTCGACTTGGACCGGCGCTGCACAGAGCGACCGGTGAATAACATCACACTAGAGCGGGAACGACGGCTCCGTCACTCACTTTCGCGGTATTTGATGTCATTGCCGATCGCTCTGTGCAGCGCCGGTTCAAGTTAGTAAACAAGCCAGTAAAAGTGGAGTATGGAGCGCTGCAGGTCACGGCACCCGGAGAAATGGCAAGTGGGAGAGATGAGGGAGTTGGAGGATGCGCCAGCGTCCTATAAGTCTATAAGTCCGGTGTGTGGGGACATTTTTGATTTCATGTTATGGTATTTTAATATAACGTTACAGTGGCACTTTATGTTTAGATAAGAGCTTCAGTCAAATGTTTCCAAATCCTGCACTTTAATTTAAACTGAAAAAAAGGTACCCTCACTTTTTGGGAATAGAAGCATTGTTGATACTGTTTTTTGTGTTGAGGTTGAACTTTTCACTTTATGTTTATGGCCTTTGCTATTTCTATAGCCTAATTATAGGCAATGAGGTTTCATGTATATTGACTTATTCATAAAAGACAGTGTAGTTCCTCTTTTTTTCTTTTAAAAGATAGAATTTTTGTAAGAGCTACAAAAGTTGTCAGTTCATAAATGCAAGTTAATTTCTTTGTGTAAATAAGATTTGTGTGATAAAAATGCACAAGTTCTTGTAGAGATAGTGATACACATTCTCCTTTTTTTTGCCAAATAAACGAAAAGCATGTCAATTTCTTCTCTCTTGCTGTGTCAAAATCTCACCTAGCTTTCCTCTGAGATAGTCCCAAAATGTGCTTAAAGTCAAAGAGTCAAATTCAGTTTGTGCATGATTGCATGAATATAATTTTTTTTATACTGTATCCTAAAGTGTGGATAATTAAGCTATATATCACATGATGAAGTACATTTCTGAAGTGTTAAAGATTAAAAGAAAAAAATAACAAGAACCGTACAGAACCGAAAACCGTGACACTAAAACCGTGATACAAACCGAACCGTCGGTTTCGTGAACCGTGCCACCCCTAGTGTGTGTGTGTGTGCGTTTGCTTGGCCATCATCAAGTGGTATTTCAGACTGGACATGCTGCGATGATGATCGCTCAGTCCACAACGACAAAACACACAGATCACTTGGTCTTGTCAATGGGACAATTTGGCAACTTTTTAAAAGTAAACTTTCCATTCAGAATCATTGGGCATCCATTTCGGCGTCTCGCGCTCGTCATCCACTCAAAACGTAACGTTACTGTTTGTCCTGCTCGCAAGCTGAAACGAGTGTGTGCGGCACAAAACGTCCTCGCGCTGCGCTCTGAAACCCTTTCATTTCAATGGTTTGCGCCGCGCGAGGACGTTTTGTTGCTTCTTCGACCAAAGCGCAAGCGGATCTAGACCGTAAACAAAACAACAGGCACGCCGCAAACACACGTTTCGGCTTGTGAGCCGGCTTTGAGTGGATGACGAGCGCGAGACGCCAAAACGGATCAGGACGCATGTGAAAAAACGACAAAGTTTGCTAGGACAAAAAGACCGTTAATCGCGCGATAAAAAAAATAACGCCGTTAAAATGGGTTCGCGTTATCGCCGTTAATAACGCGTTAAACTGACAGCCCTAATATATATATATATATATGTAGTGACGTCACTTTCCCGCGGGAACACACTCCCTCGGGCGCACTGAGTGGCAGAAGAGCTGCGACGTGACTGGATTTAACACGGGAAACTGCGAAAACGCGAGTAAAATAAACCATTATCAATTTAAACTCTTAAAGTGTCACCGGTGGGCCCAAATACATTAAATTTTTTAAAACAGTAATATCCTACACTAAACCTAAACTAATATTCACAAACTATATATCATCTGAAAGCTTATAATTTCTAGTTTCCATATTTGGTGATTGAGTTTCAATTTATCAATTTAGCCGTAATTTATCAATTTGCAACAAGAATATTTTCACACTCCTACGGCCTGTTCAGACATTTATTTTTGAAATAGTGATGAACATGAAAATCATGAAAGAATGGTAGAAACCTCAGTTTGTTTTCAAAAGAGAACATCCATTCAATTATTTTAGAGGAAAAATAATAATAATATAAAGAAAAAAATATAGAGATTTTTTGGCGGCAAACTATAACGCACATGCATGTTCTTTTTACGTTTCTTAGAGGTTGAATTCATATCAAAATCTGCCAAATTTCTCATATTACTTCTGAATAGGATGTCTACTTCATAAACTGTATCACTCAAAACAATTATCAAAACAAATAAGGGTTTGTATCACTCAAAACACATGGAAATAGAGGTAATATTGGGGAGTAATGAGTCAGGTTGTCATCTAGTGAAAAAGTTTGGTCCTATAACTTTTTTCCAGTTTAACTTTCTTAATTCATTTCACTCATACAAAAATCTGCCAAATGTCTTCTTTAAAATGAGACCAATCTTACATCTATATTCCAAAGCATTCTCGAATAAGTTCAAAATTAGCATTTTCATGTTTATTCAAAAACTTCACAGGTTAAACTAAAGGCTGGGCTCGCTATATATAATTTAAATTCATCCAATTATGCAGAACACATAGGGATGCACCGATATGAACATTTTGGCCGATATCGATAATTCTTTATATTTGAAAGCCGATAACCGATATATCGGCCGACAAATCTAATTTTTCAAATTTTTATATAAATTTTGAAAGCCTGATTGCAAAAACAAAAGTCGCACAATTAAAATCCGTTCCCTAACACAATTATAATCTTCTCATTAATAATTTCATGTAGCCGATATGACAGCACATTTTGCACTTAACTATATTTTCCTTTTTGATTCCAATCATATTTCAAGCAATTAAGATCAATCATGTTGAAGTGTCTCAGGTGCCAAGTGTTGAAGGAAATAATTCATTATTTATCAGCTTTAATATATCAGCCAAATTTTATTATCGGGCCGATAACGATAACATAAAAATGAGCAAATATCGGCCGATACCGATATGGTGGCCGATATATCGTGCAGTCCTAAGAATATACGATGGTAGATATATACTGTATTGAAAACTCATCAATTAAATAACAACACAATATATCGGGAATGATTTATCCCCCTAAATTCAGCAAATTGACACGACGGTGACTGCAAATCCCCCGCTCTCTGCCTGGATCCAGTTGCTTCTATGAATTAATTTGTTTCCCAGTTCTGTAGCTTTCAGCAGTTTGTAAAAATATACCTGAGATTCATTGTCAAATCTATTTGTGCAGTCAATCGCACAGCTCTGTCCCCATTTTAGATGTGTTTTTCACACTGAAAATGCACTTTTTGCCACTCCGTGAGCGAGAGAAAATGATGACAATGTAAGAACTAATGAAAGGCAAGATGTGGTTGACCTCGTCTCTGTAGAGAGGGCTGGTGTAGTACATGATGTCCATGGCGCTGCTGTTGAGTAAATCTCTCAGGCCTCTCACTTTATCAGGGGTGATGGACTCCACGGTGTCTGCATGGAAAGAGGAAAACACTCCTAAAATACGAACCCAAGCTACGATTGATCAGCTCACTCAACGTTTCCTTATTAATGTTATCGCATGTCATTGTTTGCACAGCTGAGAGAGGATGAACTGGATTATATTCTCTTGCCATCATATAAAACAGTGTGTGTGCTTGTGAACAAAAGGTAAAAGGACAAGTGTGTGTGATCAGAGCAGCTGTTCAGAGTGAACGCAGCAGACGGACACGTGGTTTACGGTCTCACCGCCGTCCAAAGCTAGCTTGGAGCGCCACTCGACCGGCAGGAACTCCACATGCTCTTCTGTTTGCTCAGCGAAGTGCTTCTCCTCCATCTTCCTCACCGCGTCCCGCAGCCTGAACACACACACACACACACACATAATTATATCACATTGCCCTTCAAACTGTGCACACTTTCAGTACTACTTAAAAATGCTTAGTTAATAATTAGCTTTAGTTAACTGAAATAAAACTAAAATTAGAAACGTTGGAAACTAAACGTTCAAGTACTTAAATCACTAAAACTGAAATAAAAAAATATTAAAGCTATGAAGAAATATGAAACTAATAGATGACTAAATGACTAAAATTCAAACTGAAAATATAATACAAATAAAAATCTATTCAAAATACTATAATATTATATAAATAGTACTTGATAAGCATCTTAACATGCCATTAGTTTAGAAAATAGCTACTTTTCCAATTTAATATTAATCTGAGATGATCACTAGAATGTTTTAACAAAAAATACTTTTATTTCATTGTTACTTTATTCTATATATACACACACAGTCGTGACCAGAATTAATCATACCCCTGGTAAATATATGATATAAAATGGCAGTAAAAAATAAATCCGCATTGTTTATCCTTTTGATCTTTCATTCAAAAAATTGGCAAAATCCTAACCTTTTGGTTTAAGTAAAAGAATTAAAACGTGGGGAATTTTACTCATTAGGTGTTCAAGCACAAAGTGATGAAAACCTATTGTATTTGCTAGAAAGAAAGAAAAAAATCCCCTAAAGTGCAGCCCAAACCGTAAGGCCTAGAGACTTGAAACTCAGCCAGACGGTAGGGGCTCAAATTGAAACCTATCAGAGTATGAGCCCATTTGGCCCATAGGTGGCGCTACAGCAACCAAAAGTACTAAATTGCTCATAACTCCTAGACCGTTTGACTTAGCGCCAAGGTTTTTACAAAAAAAAAAAAGTTATGTCGAATTTTGTCCAAAACCTACTTTTGCGAACTAGACCCATTTTTTTTACCCGATCGGAATCAAACCAGTGCAGAAATGTTCTCTGCAGTCTGAAGATCAATAATTATCGAAAAAAAAGTGGTACGGTCGCTAGGAGTATGCTAGAAAATTGGTATGCAGTGTCTTGGTCCAAGGCCCCATGTATGTGTATGAGGACATTGGTGTATCTCAAAAAACATGGCCGCCATTGGCCAATGAAGTTTGAGCACCTATGAGACAAGGTTAACGAAGGCCGATCGGAAAGAAACTCGATGGGCATGTTCGACTCATGGCCCTAGAGCAGTGTTTCCCAACCCTGCTCCTGGCGGCACACCAACACTGCGTGTATTCTTTATCTCCCTTATCAAACACACCTGATTCAACCCATCAGCTCATAATCAGGTGGGTTAATGAGCTGATGGGTTGAATCGGGTGTGTTTGATTAGGGAGACAAAGAAAACACGCAGTGTTGGTGTGCCGCCAGGAACAGGGTTGGGAAACACTGCCCTAGAGGTCTGTAAGAGTTTTGAAAGCAACTGGCCACTAGTGGGCGCTAACAAGTTCTATGGCTCTGTAATCACGTGGTGTTGCACACACCCCCACGAAATGCATTTCATTGGATAGATCTCCTCACGCTGAACAACTTTGCCTCAAGAACCATTGCTGTCAATCAAATCGTTCATTAAATATTCACAAATATGTTAAAAACCTACTTTTGCGAAATAGTCCCTGTTTTTTTGCCCGATCTGAACTAAATTAGTCTAGGCCTATTCTCTGGACTCTCTAGATCAATAATTATCGACAAAAAGTTGAAATTTTGCATTTGTTTTGCTATAACAGGGTCATTTACAAAAGGGGCGTAACAAAATGCACCCAAAAGCATATAAATCCTTAAGGAAAACTTGATGAGCATATGTGTCATAACATGTAGAAGAAGCATGCACAGTTTCATGGAAATTGGACCATAGGTGGCGCTATAACTATTAAAAAGCATTAAAACAATGTATTCCCTATGGCAAATTGCCTGTCTTGGCTGTAAATGGTGTTTTCCATCTGTTATGTCAGTGGATAAACGTATGCTGAATAAAACTGAATGCCGTTTGATGCTTTTGTGCTTAAAGGCCTTAAATGCTTGAACACCGATAAATGCTGCTTGCAGCTTTAATTTAGTAATTGTATCTTGATTTAAGAATTTTTAGATATTTGGACTGGAAACAAGAAAAAAAATCACCACTACTGTGTATATGACAGACATATACACAACATAAACAAATATTGTAACAAAAAAGGGAAATAAACCTGTACTAACCTGTATAAATCAACCTGTTCATAAACCTGAGCGGATTTATCTAAATATTTTTGCAGTGAATCCACTATAATTGATCTCCGTGCCTCTGCCTGAAGACTTCAGCAACAGCACTCCTGAGGACTCACATGCCCGTGTTCTTGATGATGCGATCCTTGTCCATCTTCTGTCCAATGCCATGAACCACGAACACGATGTGTGTGGTCTGAGGGGGTTTATCGTCCAGCGAGGCCTCTTCCACGTACCCACGGTGCAGTCTGGTGCCACTGCTGGAGGCTGAGCCAATCACAGGACACACGTTAAAGCGATAGTTCACCCCAAAATGAAAACTCTGTCAGTAATGACTCTCCCTCATGTTGTTCAACCCCGTAAGACTTTCGTTCATCTTCGGAACACAAATGAAGATATTTGTGATTAGATCTGAGAGCTGGATCACTCCTCCATAGACTTCTAAGCGATTGCAACTTGCCGGTAGAGCCCGATTTTGAAGGCCGATACCAATACAAATATTTTTGGCAAAAGGAAGCTGGAGCGCTGCTGGTGTCCCTTGTATCCTCTGGTGCTCTTGGAAGGGCTGAAAGTTCATAAAAATTGGAAAAAAATCCAAGTCCAGGCACTCAGGGTTACAAAAGTGAAAAAGGCCTTTATTTAACAATCGAGGGCTAAACCATTAAAAAACACCAACGCGTATTTTAATGGTTTAGCCCTCGATTGTTAAATAAAGGCCTTTTTCACTTTTGTAACCCTGAGTGCCTGGACTTGGATTTTTTTCCAATTTTTACAAATATTTTTGGGTTTTAAAATCCGATATATCGGACGAAATTTTATTCATTTATTTATTTATTTTAAACTGGACATGATAGTCAGAAATTTTGTCATGCTTATTTGAGTTAAGAGAACTGATTGGGATGTTCTTTTAATTGTTATTCAAGCAATGTATGTCTCGTGACCAACTCAACGAGTGTTGCCAACAGGAACGGTGTAGAGTGCCCTCTGGTGGACAAACTATACAACTCCAACACTCATGACATGGTTCAAGCGTGTTTAGTCCGTTTTAATTTTATTTTTGAAATATTAATTTATCGGCCATAATAACTGCCGATACCGATAGTTTGGAAAACGCCTAATATCGGCCGATGATATCGGTCTGCCGATATATCGGCCTGGCTCTACTTGCCCAGAAAAGTTATTAAAGTCATCGTTAAAATTAGGGCTGCACGTTTTCAAGTTTTTCATTAACCGTTAACCGAGGCCCTTATCGGTTAATACTCGGTTGACCATGTGCGCGCCGCAACCTCGAGATACAGAGTTAATTTTTAACACCTTTAATAACTGGTTGGACCCCATTTGAAACGAAATTAATTTATAGAAATAAAACGCAGTGGTGAGTTCAGAGCAGTTAAAGTAGGCGCGTTTCCATCACCCTTCAAACTGAAATTGCCCATTGAAAATACGCACATTGGCAACACGTCCATTTCGCAAAAACTCCGTATCCGCAAATAATAATAATAATCATCATTATTGTAACATTTTATTAGGCTGCGTATGTAGATGACGCTTTTATCCAAAAAAGGAACAAAGCACAAATAAACAATATTTTGACGCATATCCAGTGTGTGTGCTTTGTGGAGGCTGCGAGACGCCCATGTGAACACTTGCAGTTTCATTGCAGTTCTTTCAGTGGAAACAACTTAAAATACTCTTTCATTTCTGGTCATACAGAAAATAATAATACATTATTCGCAAATACATTTATTTGCGTAAACTCAAAATAACAAGAAAACGTTGTGCTTTAACAAACAGGCGCGTTTCATGATCTCCGTGAACTGGAGCGCGAGAACTGAAACAGCCACAGCATTCGAATTTGTTCGTTTTAAATTGGACATTTAAAGCTTTTGTTGACTAAAGCTTTAAATGTCCAATTTAAAACGAACAAATTCGAATCGAAAGCCAATATCTTCTGACTATGTAATTATGTGGCTTAGCTAATTATGTATTTCTCTCTAAAGGTGCATCCGGGGATGAAGATTTGTTTTTAGCAGAAACTGATTTAGAAAACAATAGTTTATTAATAAACAATTAATGCGTTATGTTATATTATTAATTATAACGATTATTATGTTATAATCGTTATGTTATATTATTTTATTATCAGACACATTTATTATATCTTATAAATTATCTAAATCCCCTTTCTGTAGGCTGTGGTTACGGCTCTTCTCATTCAGCACTGCGGGGGAAATATAATTTCCAGGTTCTAATCTGGCCTCAGAAAACCAGTAAAATCTTTTTTTTTCCATATTCATTTGTCAAATATTTTAAATGTTTAAAGGGGCAAAAAATCAAACAAATATCTGAAAATTTGTCGATATATAGCCTATATATTTTTGCGCAGCATTTGACGTAGTCCTACAGTTCAAATTAACATTTTGGTGTTCAACTCTGTGTTTTACAAAATACAACAACCGTTCATTTTTCGTTTTGCAATTAGGCCTACGGATTAAATAAGGGGAAACGAATGAACACAAAAGTAGGCTACACTGACCGTTTGGACATATACGAGGCAGAGTTCTTTTTTAAAATTCATAAAGGATACAAGGAATAGCCTACTAGACAAAACCTCAAAGAAATGCCACAATCAAGACCGCGGAGCAGAAATGAGGGAGAAACCCTGCCATGCTTGGATGACACACCACGTCTCCTTTTATAAATAATAATAATGTCTAGTGCGGTGGCTGTGATGGACTACCAACGTCCGTTGCCATTATTTTTGGAATGGCTTATCGCGAAAGGAAAAAAAAATGTTTTAGTCGCATAACACCGTTAATAGAAACGCTGTCATTTCACAATATTTTTTTATCGACAATCAGAAAAAAAAACGCAAAAGTTTTGTGCAAATATGTATTGACGCCACTTAACCGAGCAAAAAGGTTTCACTCGGTTATCCAATTTTAAACGGTTAATCGGTTAACCCTAGTTAAAATAGTCCGAGTGACTACAGTGGCTCAACCTTAAGTTTTTAAGCGACGAGAATACTTTTTGCGTGCAATAAACAAACAAAAATAACGACTTCATTCCACTAATCACTTCCTTCTCTGTGGGCCTCGAGTAGTGTAACAGCGCAGCGCTTCTGTGTCGTACATCACACGCAGGCTCACTGTTGGCCGGCGCTGGTCGTGTGTGTGATGTACGACAAAGAAACGCTGCGCTGTTACACTACGTGAACTAACAGAATTTTCATTTTGGGGTGAACTGTCCCTTTAAAGTCCCTGTAAAGTCAACATTAAGTATGTGTTCTGAGTTTGTCACACCACAGAAAAATGTGTTATTAGCCACCCAGACAAATTTGAATGATAAAAAAAGCCGGCAAGTACATAAAATAAGCTATCAAAATCATGAAAAAATGAGCAGTTATCTCTGTTCTCAAACGCTGGGGGCGTGTCCACTGGCTGCGCTGAAACCACGCCCACTCGCGGGAAAGCTGTCGACGGTGATATTAGCTGATTAGCTTTTGGAGACGGGAGGATGAACACTGAGGCGGGAGATCGTCGTTTCGGCCCCGTTCACCGGTAACAGCGGATTCTCAGTGAATCCCAGTTGTCTCTGAGGAAAGTTTATAAAACGATCCAGTGTAAAACGATCACTACAGAGGCGGGTGTTAGCGGTGATCCTCAGCTCTTCATCAAGGTTGGCTCTCTAAAAACCTCTTCTTGATGTGATCGTTTTAATGGAATTTAAATAAAGATACCGATCTGTTTTGTACATGATCGCATCCAGGTAGTAGCCCATGCATGTCCGTGTCGAAGGCATAGCTAGCTAGAAAACTGTAGGCTCAGCTGGAGTACTGACAGTCACTCGCGGTTGAGCGGTGAATGCGAATGTGCTCGGGGAGTGTTTTAGGGCAGAGATCAGACTCAGTGCGTCATCAACTAGGGGGGTGTCCAGCAGCTCATGGGCTCCAGTGCATCATCGAGCCCTGTTTTAGCCCCGCCCAATTAATCCGTAAAATTGCAATGGTGAAAAACTGTTTAACGGTCTAACTCCACATTTCAGTACTTCACAGTTCACAGTCTTTGTAATATGTTTTAGCAATACATATGCAACATTTATAATGTGTTTAGAACTTTTTTGTAGAATTGCCTTTACAGGGACTTTAAGAGAGACAGTTCCCTTGTGTTTGCATAGTCTTAAACATCATTTTTCAGAAATTATCCTAAAATACAGTTGAAGAGACGCATAATAATGCAGAAACACACAGACACACACACACAGCTCCAGTGGATCCACTCACCTTTAGAGAAGCCCAGCTTCTGCGTGACGGTGCGAGCGATCTTAGACGTGGTGGCGTCGCTGTACAGATACACCTCGTCGTCGCTGTACCAGTCGACATGACTGCGGCTCAACTGCAGACTGTGGATGGCTGTCCGGTGACAAAACACGCATTACATCATCCACTGACACGGCTGTACCGTAACACACACCACAGAGTAAACGACACAACACTAACGGGAAGCAGTGCTTTTCAGTGCGCAGACACGTGCGTTTCCCACGAGCGCCTGATTAGATCTGAGGAGTGCTGAAGCACTGGATCATAGTGATTGGGCGTAGAGAGCACACTGAAACACACACTCCCTTACAAACAGAGAGAAATGAATCAGCAAAGGCTCACCTGATGCTAAGAGCAGCCCTGCTTTACTTCACAAACAGAATATAATTATAATGTTTCGATTGGCAGTGCAAAAAAAATGTTTTTAATATTAGAAAAAAATGTTCCTGTGGCGTTTTTCTTTATTACCACAAAAAATATTGTCATCCCTCAGTTTGTGTTTGATGGTTCACTTATATTAGTACAATACTATTATTAACAAATTTTTGTCATACATATAAGTGTAATTATTAAGTATTACACTTAATAATATTTGTATTTTTGCAATCCACACTGCTGGTAAGAGGTATTTTAACTCTTAGTTTTACCACATATACTGATAAAACTCAAATTACAATATCGTGCAAAAGTTCATTTATTTAAGTAATTCAACTTAAAAGGTGAAACTGATATATTATATAGACTCATTACATGCAAAGTGAGATATTTCAAGTCTTTATTTGTTATAATTTTGATGATTATGGCTTGAAAATGTGAAAATGTTTTCATATCGGTAGGCCATAATCATCAAAATTATGACAAATAAAGGTTTGAAATATCTCACTTTGCCTGTAACGAGTCTACAAGTTGAATAGTAATAGACTTAAAGGATTAGTTCACTTTTGAAAAAACTTTTGCTGATAATTTACTCACCCCCATGTCATCCAAGATGTCCATGTCTTTCTTTCCTCAGTCGAAAAGAAATGTAGGTTTTTGATGAAAACATTCCAGGATTTTTCTCCATATAATGGACTTCAATGGGAACCGGATGGTTCAAGGTCCAAAAGACAGTTAATAACAGTTTCAGATGCAGCTTCAAATGTCTTTAAACGACACCAGACGATGAATAAGGGTCTTATCATGCGAAACGATCGGTTATTTCAAAACTTGTTCCAAAAATGTAACTTTTCTAAGGACAAATGCTAGCCTTGATTCATTCTGAGAGGCGCGTTTGCAACGTCACGTAATACGTAATTACGTTCAAAAGGTCACGGGCGACGTAGCCGGAAGTACAGAATCAAAATCGTCCGACATCGTTGTTTTACCTTTTAATTCCTTTTTTTGTAAACGGCGTTTGAGTTAGTTTTCACGTTCAACCTATGCGTTCAACTTGTAAACACTGACTCTGTACTTACGGCTACGTCGCCCGTGACCTTTTGAACGTAATTACGTAATAACGTGACGTTGCAAACGCGCCTCTCAGAATAGAGCAAGGCTAGCATTTGTCCTTAGAAAAGTTAAATTTTTGGAATAAGCTTTGAAATAACCGATCGTTTTGCATGATAAGACCCTTATTCATCGTCTGGTGTCGTTTAAAGACATTTGAAGCTGCATCTGAAACTGTTATTAACTGTCTTTTGGACCTTGAACCATCCGGTTCCCATTGAAGTCCATTATATGGAGAAAAATCCTGGAATGTTTTCATCAAAAACCTACATTTCTTTTCGACTGAGGAAAGAAAGACATGGACATCTTGGATGACATGGGGGTGAGTAAATTATCAGCAAAAGTTTTTTCAAAAGTGAACTAATCCTTTAATAGACGAGTCTACTAAGCTGAATAACTGAAATGAACGATATTGTAATTTCACCCGTACATCTGCCATCAGTGTATTACCATAAACCTTTTTTTTCTTTTTACAAACTGAGGGATGACTGAAAGCGATTCTCTGACGGCGTGCCACAGATGTGCTGTATTAGACCAAAGCTTTTCTTCACCGTACAAAGTCATTATGCACATTTCTAAATGCATCCAGTTTTGATCGGTGTTCATTATGATGCGTGGACTCAGAGCTGCTCTTGTGCACAGGCGTCTGAAGCTGATCACCATAAAGCAAACCAAGGAGGACTAGAGGACTAGAGCGTCATGCCGAAACACAGAACAGAAGTCCTTCACAGTGATCATGGGATAGAGACCCAGTTTCTATTAGGGCTGTCACTTTGGCTGAATCCCAAGTCTTACCCCTTCCCCTTAGTTTTGCGTGTTCACGTGAGAGGAAGGGCTATCCCAATTCACCTTTGGCTAAGCCACGCCCTAGAATGTATATTGACCAATCACAGCGCAGCAAAGAACGAGCTCCCACAGAGGTCGGACACTTTTTCGCAGCGCTTCATTGACTTTCAACACAGGCATCTCATATCTTTGGTCTCGGCAGGCTATTATGCTACGTTCACACCGGACGCGAATAGGGCGTCAGGCGCGAATGATTTCAATGTTAAGTCAATGCAAAGATACTTTACGCGCGTGAAAAATTCCTGCGGCGCTAATGAGGCGTGGAGCGCGGCGCGGAAGACGCGAATACGCCTCATTCGCGCGTCAAGTTGGCGTGAATTGAGCGTTGTGCATTCACGCGTCTGACGCGAATTCGCGTCTGCCACCCGAGTTGAAAAATCTAAACTTTGGCGTGAATTCGCGCCGCGTTAACCAATCAGGAGCCTAGCTGCTTGCTCACGTGGTGAAGTGTCTGGATGCTTCAATAAATTATTTTGTATATGACTAAATGCATGGTGAGATTATGCACAACAAAGCAAATGTTTCATCACTTAAAACATTATTTCTATATACGAGACATGTTCATTTTGTATTGAATGTTATTCATTCCATATCTAGAAATAGTATTATGTTGTAAAGACAATCAACATATGTGCATAAATTCGTGTCTGGACGTGAGAGAGAGAAAAAAAAAAATCACAGTCAGGTTAATAACTTTTGAAGGCTGGCTCTATTTATTATCAAAACAAAAATAAATGACAGCTAGATTAGATGGATGAGGGCGAGGGTGATCCTCGCTCCGATGCGGGACAACAGGTCATCAAACTGGGCGCAGGACAGGCGGAAGTACCGCTGACAGCGGCCGTCATCCAGCGCAGCTCCTGGAGCGAGCAAATGGTGAAACTCGCCAAACGGTTGGGCTCCGAAGGGTCCGGTGGACACAAATATACGGCGACGATGATCCCCACGCCGCTGTTCTGCTCTCCAGAGTAAATACAGAGCGGTAACTCTCTTGATGAATGCTCGGTCGACATAAAAACAATGACCGCCAACGGATTTTGATTCTGACGCGCGTAAATTTCGCTTCAAACTTACGCGCGCCAGTTTCGCTCTTGACACGCGAATTAACACTAGTGGTCAAGCGTCAAACTAGACGCGTCAGGCGCGAATTTGACGCGCGATTCACGTCCGGTGTGAACGTAGCATTAGTCATAATTTTATCCAAAATATGGTTAAACGTTGTCCCTCGGGCATTTGTAACACAGATACGCGTTTCTCAGAGAGGTTGGAGGGGGGTGTCCGTTTTTTCCCTTCCCAAAACCGTTTTAATCTTTGGATTAAACTGTGTGGATGTCCTCAGTCAGCTAAACCCCGCAAAGATCAACAAGCACATCTTTTTTACTTCTAACCGAGTGTGAATTTATACTAGTTAGACCGTTTTATAATGTTTTAGGTTATGATTTCGGTTCTCATACCGGTTGTTGATACGCTAGCACACGCTGCTAATAAATACAACGTTATACTCGTGTAGTCCGTTTGCTTTGTAATAACGATTATAGAAGTGAATAGAGACCTACCCAGCTTTGCATGAACAGTGTTGCTCCCTGATATTGTTAGTCCCAGCCTCCGTCTCCATTAGTAGGAAATGCGGTGGTTCATTTTTTTGACTGTGAGCGGTAACGTTGCGCTTTTGCCTCTATTTTGGATGCCTTGTTGTTTCTTGCGTTGAATGTCTTGATTGAATATAGCCTTCGAACGCATATTGCCTACTTCTATCGGACACTTCATTTGCTGCTTTATAAAAGTTTGATAACATTTCAGCAGGAAGAGCTGTTACAGCATAAGCCATGCAGAGCACAGATGAAGTTTGACGGATGTAGCAACAGTAACTAAGGGGGGGCGGGGCTTGGCCAAAGGTGAATTCTCATTTTGATCTAGGGGAAGGGGTATATACCCCTTAAGACCAAGAATTTTCACGAGCTTACTTGAAACCAAGGGGTACCCAGAATGCACTGCGCAACTGGCACGTTGCATTCGTTGAACGTTTTTTTCGCTTAAATGATTAATAAAAAAATATGGCCGTCTTGTTTTGTGCTCTACACAGTTATGTATTTGCAACTACGTTGTTTATTGAAACGTTTTTAAAGTTTTTAAAAATCGCTACTTTGCTACGCTAAGCTATGCTAACGTTACATTGCTGATTTGCACACATTTCAAGATCACCCAAAATGTCCAGGATTCAGCTTTTGCTTTCTACAGTCGCCATTCATTGCGTGTACATTATTTGACACGGACACGTCCGTGATCAGCTTCTCAGGTGATGCATTCAGCTTCAAACGGATCCCGACTGAGACGAAAACACGGGATTAGATCAACAATAGATTCAGATTCACCGATTTAAATGAATGAATTCAGTCCGATTGAAACAACACCTTGTGCATGTAAACATAATGAATAGTGAAGACGGAAAGCGAAAGCCCAATCCTGGACATTTTGACGGCATCTTGAAAGTTTCGAGAAGTTTGTGATCAACACTTGTTGCCCCGGGTGGCACAGACGCCAGTTAAGGACGATGCAAGATGACGTAACCGAGTGGTGTCTCATTTCATAGGGGTATGTTTGCACTAGCGCTTACCACTCGGTTTTGAGGGACAAGGGCTAGGGGTAAGACAGAGAATTGGGATTCAGCCTTAATCTCAATCCCTGAACGTTGCGCTCCTGTTTAAATCATAAATCATAAAACCCAATAAATCATCAGAAATATTGCTGACTTGTGCGTCTCAAGCGCCTCGTTACGCTCGTCCTAACGCCTGTTAGGTGTCCGTGGATTTGCCTGTATTTGGTGTTGAAAATGGAAACGTCTTTAGATGAAAAAAATCGATTTTATAATCGATTCAATGAACACTTATGAAAATCAAACACTTTTTTTTATAAAAGTGACAGCCCTAGTTTCTATAGATTGGTGTAAAGTGAAAGTCCCTCGATCAATCTCATCTGTGTAAGTGAGGGCGTTCAGAGGAGGGCGATTAAGTCTGCCTTTTGCGCGTTCGTGACTCTCCTGTTCGAACTCGTTCATCAAAATGAACGAACCTTTTTCCGAGCCATTTGGTTCATTCAACGAACGAAAGGAACGAATTGACTCGGAAAAAGAGCTTAGGCGAGCATTTGAGCTTATAAAACTTAAACTTTTTTATTTATTTATTAAATGAGCGATCGTTTTGCTTGATAAGACCCTTATTCATCGTCTGGTGTCGTTTAAAGCCCTTTGAACAGTTTGCACTGAAACTCTCTTTTGGACCTTGAACCGTTTGGTTCCCATTGAAGTCCATTAAATGGAGAAAATCCTGGAATGTTTTCATCAAAAACTTTAATTTCTTTTTGACTGAAGAAAGAAAGACATGGACATCTTGGATGACAAGACGGGTGTCTACTATACACTGCCGACAAAGGTAATTTACCTAACGCAACATACATTTATGTACATATGTAATTATGCACAAAAAAAAAGAGAGAATATGAGAGATTATTAGGAATATAACATTAAAATGTTATACAAACCTGTAATGCTATTTTGCATTAAAGGTCATGGTCGTATATCATGCTTCAAGCTGTGTTCAAGTGTAGAGTTTGTGAAGCATGTAATTATTAGTGGTGTTTGATAAAACTAAAGATTCAAAGAATGAATCCTCATATAAAGTCTAGTCGATTCGGCATGAAACGGGAGTTGCAATCGTCTTTTCTTTGGTTTTGTGACGCATATCCGGTTGAAACGGCATCAAAACAAAACAAATATACCAAGGGTGGGAGTGGGACTTGATTTTGTCTATCAGAATTGATTAATTTATTGTCCTTAACTAATTGCTGAGATCTTATATGAGTGACAGGTTGCTGGAAGAGTGAACACAAATCATTTCTAATAATCAATCATGGATAATTATTTCTACTGCAATATTCCATAAGAAAAGTCCATTTTAATTTCATTTAATTTTCCATTTTAATTTAATTTTAATTTGTGATTAAGTTTGTGAACTATTGGCATCGTCAAAGTTGTAAATAAAACAAAGATTATTGGAGTACATTTTACAAAAAAAAAAAACAGTTTTTTACTGTAAAATTGTACATTCCTTTGTAATTATAAGTGAAATTTTCCAGAATTTGAGTGAAACTAAATCCTATTTTGCAATTTTTCACAATTTAAAGAACTTTTGACACTGTACGTATCCATCAGATTCTAATAATAGTAACACAATAAGGAAATACAGCAGGGAAAATAGGAAAAGTGGACACTTTCAAAGAACATGACAGCCTAAAAACACACTTATGAAACTGGGTTCACAACTAATGGGAGGGTTTGTAATCAGCAAAAGGCGGAAAAGGAGAATCAGCGTCTACAAGGAGTAAAAACGGAGGGCTGTGGTACCTTGACATCGCTTTCGCTTGTGACATTTAGCACTCGTCTGATATCCGCTCCATTTGAATAGAAAGGGGAGGTAGAATGGGGGGAAGTGGGAAAGAACTAACAAACCAGAAACAGTCAATGGTCACGTTATTGGCAATGACACCTCTCTATCACCCTACACAGTATCAGCACAACACACAAACTATTAGTTTAATAAAAAAAAACAACTTCCAGACTGTGTTGTACTGTATAACATTCAGCTAAAGTACAGCCACTTAAGCAAAGTTTCACATGGAAATCCTGCTTCTCACTTAAGACTTAAGGGATGGGCAACGATTAATCGCATCCAAAATAAAAGTTTGTGTTTACATAATATATGTGTGTGTGGTGTGTATAATTAATTTGTATATATAAATACACACACATGCATTTGCATGTATATACTTTATATTTATTTATACATAATTAATATTATATATAAATATAAATATTTGATATATTAATAACACATTTTTCTTAAATATATACAGGCATGTGTGGGTATTTATATATACAAATTAATTATACACACCACACACACACATATATTATGTGAACACAAACTTTTATTTCGGATGCGATTAATCGTTGCTCATCCCTACTTAAGACAGTCTTTAATAGGGGGCTTTTTAAAGGAATTTAATGTGATTTTAACCGAGGACACATTTCTCAAATCATTTAAGTCTCAAACCAATAAATGTAGCAAAGGTAAAGATTCACTGTAATTTACATGACAGGAGATAAGTTTAACATAAGATTAACATAATTGGTCTTTTATCAAATCAGTGTTTAAGAGAGCTGTTGTTTTTGATGCTTCAACCATTCACCGACTGCGTTAACAAGCTCAACATATGCTATAATGATTGAATAATATAGCTTTATTAGTCTTATTTGGTCATATTCCAATTGAAGAAGTGAAGACTGAACAAGTTGATTAAATGACAATTGCTAAATATGCAGTGTAATAAATGGCTGATATTATACATCTTCTGTACACAGGAAAATCATTAAATGATGTGCATGTAAACATGGTCTATTTCTAAATGATTCAGTAAATCGAATGCTATTTTATAGAGAGCAATCACTCCTCTGCGAGGCTGTATTATGTATATTTTCCTTCGCTCCCTTTATTGTGGAGCGAAGGAAATGTAGAGAAAAGCTCCACGTGTTCAATAAACTCAAGCACTCATTCCTCTCTCATCCGATTTATCTCCACCCAGTCCAAGCGTCATTTGAGTCATGAAGGTCAACAGTTTTCAGCAGTCTGCATTTTTAAAAAAAGGAGATTTATTACGCTATAATGTCTCGAACACAAGAAGTGTGGTAGTGCTGGACGGTTTGAGCGTTTGACCAAAAATTATCATCACGTTTTTTGTGTGGTTTTGTTCAAAATTAAAGGGGACATATCACGCAAAATCCACTTTTTTAGCCCTTAAATGCATTTTGTTGTATATTTGGAGTGTTTATAAGTACAGAAAAGATGAAATTATTCTCTTCAGGTGCTTCGTTTATATCTTTATATTCTGTTTTAGTCATATTTTTCAACCTGTTCAGATTTTTCTGTTGTCTATGACGTTTTTTGAACTACAACGTGACCGTATTTGCTGCGGAACTGCCAAATAAGGACATTGACTACCGGTCCAACACTTCGAGCAATCCGCCATTATTATTTCTCGCTCCGATTTTGTAGTCCGAGCTCAATGATGCAGAAGTTACGAGAGGGCAAGTCAAAATGTTCGGTTGTTGGATGTACATTAGTGACCTGAAGCACTTCAACAACCTCCGCCAGTATAAAGAAGGGTTTGCCGATTGACTTCGTCTGAATGAGGGGAAATTCCTTTTATCTTTGGAGACGACGAACAGAGCATTTCGATAAGCTGTAAAATTATCGTTAATAAAAATAAAGCACTTTACTTTCTTAAAACACATGGTGGTCATGGTTTAGCAGTACCTTTGTCTTTCTTTGTTTTTGTTTTGAAGTAACGTTACACGTCTGCAGTATTATTGTTCTTGAGTTTCATCAATGCTCATTCTGATGCTTTTCTAAACGTATCATATTATCAATACAGATTGTTTGTGGTAAGATTGGACCGTAGTCATTTATCTTGTCAGTGTGCTTGTTTTAACAAGAGAAATAGTCGACGTTCACTAATAACACAAAACAGTTAACTCACATACCAATACATCCATATGAAGAGGTTGTTCTGCAGGTTCATCATCGTCTTTATCGACTCGCTCGCTCTGGCTCGAATATGTAAGGCTTGATGGACAAGTCTTCTGTTAACGTGTGAATAAAAATGATCTTGGAAGGTGTCGTATATAATCGTATATCTCTAATCAAACTACAATAATGGCCGAACGTGGGGAGTTGAACCGACCGTGAACTCATCGACCTGGAGAGCAGGCGGGGTGTGACCCATCTTCTTTTTATTTAAAGGGGCCGCTTTGAAACGGGTCGCTCACAGACGCACATCAGAAAAGGGGCTTGTGGAGCTATAATAATGAGGAGTTCAGACCCAAGCATTGCAGTTATGTTTTACATAGACCACAACGGTATGATTTATATGTAAAAATGAATAAGTTAAAAGCATGATATGTACCCTTTAAGATTTTTTTTTCATGCATAATCAGGTGTTCAAAGCATTTAATAACGTTTATATAACAGGAGAACTGAGCGTTCTAATGACGTTTGAATGACGTTCTTACAGCCAAGCAAGAACGTTAACCCAACGTTTATGTAACGGGAGAACTGAACGTTAAACAACATTTTGAATAACGTTCTTATAACCAAGAAATAACGTTACTACTAGGGATGGAACAGTACACAGAAGTCACGGTCATTGTAGGAGGAAGTGACAAGGGTAAATAGCAGATTTCTCTCATCTAAGGGGAAAATGAGAGTGTTGCACGACCATTCAATAGTACGACTGGATTTATAACAATGGACATCTTAATGCAAATGGGTGGAGTCAGTGTCCCTTTAAAAACGCGGAAAACATTCTTATAACCTAAAATTGTTATCTACAATCTAAATAGACCAATTCTTACAAGAGCAGCGTGTATCTGAGAGCGTGAGCGCGGCATATTACATTCCGCGATCAGAGAAATTCGCACTCGCGGATTATATTAATGTACTTTCGCGCTACACTAGTGCGCTCTCGACATTTGACAGGAAAATAACGCCATAGCTCTGCAGCATTCATCTTCCCTGTAAAGCCTTGTTCACACTACATGATTTTAAAACGTCGGGCTGAACTGTGCGGTTCACATTACATCACTTGCTCTCTGTGAAATCAGGAGTGTTCAAGTTGTTGAGCTGTTCACACACACACGACACAACGTGATTGATCCGCAACAGGAGGTAACGCACTACACCAGTTGACAACAACTCTGTCACCCAACGATTCTGTCTTGTCTACAAACCACGTTTTGTTGCGAAAAATCGCGCGATAAAACGAACCGGAAATGACGCAAAACAGCACGCGCGTCAATACCCAGCGAAGAAGACAAAGAACACAACACGCGAATATGGGCGTCAGACAGAAACTAGTGCTGCAAACTTGCACGATGATTTGCTCTGTGAAAAAAAATGCAAAAATAGAAAAAATAAGATTTACCCGGTGACCTCAACCCATGCCTTGCTCTGATTGGCTGGAGCTCATGACATCACTGAGGTAAAAGCGCGACAGCTCTGGATATCTAGCATGATAGATATTGTTCTGGCCTCGGCGAGGCGTCTGCGATGCGTTGTTGACTCTTTCATACTAACAGATTCGCGAGCGTTCATCACCCGCTAATCCCCCATGATTTGCACGCGATAACACCCTGACCTGTTGGCGAGCTCAACGATTTGCAAATCGGGCTTATAATCCTATAGTGTGAACTAGGCTTAACGTAACACCAGAGCACTGATGTATACCCTCGCCTCGCAGTCGCTGCTTAGAAGTGCAAAATTGTAAAGTGTCCGCGCCACCAGCGAATGAAATACATCGGTATGGCGGTATATTAAAAATTAATTCCGGTTTTCGGCATGAACCGGTATACCCCTCAGCACTAAAGTGTGGCATATAAAAGAAAGATGTGTCCATAATATAACTCTCTGAATGTTGAAACACTTTCTCGTATCTCATGCAGTCAATTATGAATAAGCTTTTGGCAGATTGACTTTTTGAAGATTGTGAACACTTTGACGGTTATGAAAACTGAACCACAGGGAAACGTCATGTGTGATCAAAAGTGACACTAAAATAAAGTAGTTTGGACTGAAAATAAAATAAGCTAGAGCTGAAAGATGTGATTTAGACGGAGAACAACAGCGGTCCCAGTACAGAACCCTGTGGGACTCCATGATGGTGAAAATGATCTGCTATCCTGGCTGGTAGGACAAAAAGTGTAAAAGTGCAGCTGAGAGATTTGCACAGACCGAATGGGGCAGAATAGGCAAGTTTTTCTGGTTCTTTACTTATAATTAAAAGCTAGATTCCAGAGGGCATTCTTGTGACTCAATGTTTAAACACACATTGGGTGTAATTGCGCACGACCTACATTCATCTCCCCATGAGCACTCTTTAAGTTCCCTGCAAGACAGTGAACATTAAATGTAGTGTAGCTTAACATAAAGGAGGAGAAAGACAATGGCAGATCTACTTAAACCCTGTTGTAACGTCTCAATGTGAAGAAGAGTCACAGTGACTCAGATTTTCTTCTTTTTGCAAAAGCGTAATTTGAGGACATTCTCAGTATCATCGTCCTCTCTTCTGCGGTCACACCTTCTGTTTCTGACAGTCTATTGCAAATTCTCCTTTATCCTCAAGTTGGCTTTTGTCTCATTGAATATCTCTAAAGTCCCAGTCGTGTCTGAACGCCATTATCCTATTCAACTTATTTTGCAACGTGGAAGAAAGCTGTTTTCTGTGAATGCACAAGACTTCCGATTCATTAGCATCACCATGATGGGCACTCAATTGTGGATTACTTTTCAAAGCTAAATGAAAATAAATGTAATGCAAATATTAAAAAAAAATCTTAATTGGGAGCACTATGCCATCTTGTTGATGTTCAACCCAGAAGTTTAACTACACACATTATTATCAAATATTTTAACATTCGAACAAATTGATTCAGTATTTCTTCAGTCGGAAGTTATTTAAATGCATAGTGAATGTAATCCATAGCAATCAATGCCCATTTGAAATTAGTAATTCATTTAATTGTGTTTTTTTACGCTGAAGTGACTGAACTGCTGTGCAATACAACATTATGTACTGTTTTAACTATCCAGTTTTATGCATTATTGTGTTTTGTAACATAATTTCACACCCCGTATTTGCTGGATTGAGACGAGCCAGTTTTAGGGGTTGGTTTGGAGCAGATTTTCAGTACGGGCACATTTTGATGGAAAAAATGGAAACACACAGTGTGTAAGGCTTCGGCACCAGCACCAGTGAGTGAAAAAGGGGCTTGTGTTTGTACACTGTAAAAAAATATTGTTGGTTTAACTTAAAACAGTAAGTAACCTGGGTTGCCTTAAAATTTTAAGTTGATTGAACTGGAAAAAGTGAGTTAATACAATGAAGTAGATTAATTTAACCATCAGAAACTCAAAATAATAAGTTATCTCAACTAAATAAATTATTATAAAGTTGATTTGACAAAAGAAAATATGTTGTGAGTGTATGGATATAACTGGAACCAAAAATATATATATATTGAAAAATGCCTTTGATGTAAATGTTCTCATGATGTTTTAGAAACTGATGATGTTCACGAACGCTATAACATACACACACAGTCACACACTTTCAACAGATACCGAGAATAGGGGCAGGTGTGCCGTTGTCACGAACAAAACCTTGTGCTGACGTATCCTTCATTTGTTTTTCAAATTCTTCTAAGCTAACAAACAGCCTCAGACACAGGAGGAATGCTCTCTCTTTACCAAATGATGTGCTAGTAGTGAATTCGCTCACCATCTTTTCGGTCCACGGTATGGGCCAGCGTGTCAGTCTCAAAAGCGTCCTGTACCTGTTGTCCTCGGAAACATGTCAGGTGTTCCTTCTCTACGAGTTCGCTCTCGTCCTCCTCTACAGGCGTCCATGTGCCGTCAATGAACCACTGGCCTCTCATGACAGGGATGCAATCCTGTTCTAAAGGTGGGAGACATAATATAATGCTATAACAATGAAGGAAACAGAAAATAAGTAAGAAAAAAAAAACATTCACCAATCAAACATGCATTAACATTGGGTAAATTGTATTTTAAAGGGGCCCTTTTATGCTTTTCCACCTTTTCAACTTTAGTTAGGGTGTCATTTTGCTGTTTGCGCATTATAAATATCTGCAAGGTTTACATAGCTCAAAGTTCAATGCAAAGTGGGAAATTGTATTTTATTTAAAACGATTGACAGCAACTACAAAGAACGTCTCGATTGGACAACAACGCGATTTTTCCGGATCTTATGAAGTCATAATGTTACTCATTTAAATAATCCCCACGCACGGATTACACCAACAGTGGACGAGGCCTGGTTGAACTGCATTAGAGAAGAGAGAGTTATCACTGTCGTTTTCCACAACGTTCCCAAAACTGACGAACTCGGAGTGGTTAAAGCTTATTTTAAACACTGTTCCTGCACATTATAACTCCAATGTTTATCTGTGTGCTGCACTTTTTATGGAGAACAGCTTGTTTTCCGTTGCTTTTGTGAGCTTTTGCTTTTGTAAGACGTTTCACAGCTCCTCACGAAAAATAACCATGGTTTTATGGACGATTACTGTTTGTATTACCTTAGTTTTCCGATTAAATCAGACTGATCTCATGAAATGGCGTATGAATGACACGCCAATTCGTATTTCCATTTTTGGCGTGCTATCAACACGCATAATCGCTTTTCGGCGTGTTTATGAGCGCCGTTGACTTAACGTTATATTACTGTATATATGAATATACGACCTAACCCAACACTGTCCCTGAACCTACCCGTCACTGGGGTTAATAGCATTTATGAGTCTTCCCCTACCATCCTAGGAAAAAAAACATGTATCCTCAGATGTAGATCTACATTTTGCTTTGTTTCGCTCGGACATTTGACGGCGTGTACAGACACGCGGAATCACTCGGACATTTAACGGCGTAGACATACATGCGGATAGTTAAAAATGCATATAAATAACTCGCTACTTGACTTGAAAGTGGCGTGTATGTTTACGCAAAAGTCATGATGTCATGTTGATTAAATGGTGGATAACAGCAGGTGAACATAACAAAAAACATCATTCACGAGCACGATCCTCTCGTGCTTGAAATCCATTCAGCACGATCCTCTAGTTTGTTAACATTGTCAGGGTCCGAATCGGGCTGAAATTGCTTTGAAATGGATGCCATCCTTAACCCCTTAGCGGTCAACCCCCTTTTTGAGAATGGGGGTTAAAATGCACTATTCAAACTGAAATGTAATTTAACAATGCTTTGGAATATACCCAAGTTTGGTCTTGTTTTAAAGAAAACACTCAGCAGAATTTTGCTGAAGTGAAAAGACTTCAAAAAATGAAAGTATGAAAAAGTTATGGAAGTTTAAATTTACAGTAAATCAAATATACTGTACTATATTTTTTTATTTTATATAAAATATATATTTTACAAAATACTTTTTTACTCTAAAATTTCTATAAAATAAAAGCCATAAATCTTATCAAGTTATGTTCCAAATTTGAAGTTGATGTCACAAAAATTGAAGTTCCCATGAGATTTTGTTTAGGCGTAGTACCATAAATAGCCACCGGGTGCCATTGAATTCCATTGAATTTAATTGTATACATTCTGCCTTAACAAATTAATACATTTCTGTCCAAATATCACTTCTGTCACAAAATCTGGAACCTTGAGACTCAGACCTTTCTGACAATATCTGCTTTGTCAAGATTAGAAAAGGTTTTGATCATAAATTATGAACTTAAATGATGCCCAAAAGGGGAGGAGCTTGATAAAATAAGTACCGTTTCTATGGTAACGCAAAATTCAACTATAAAACAGTTTTCACAGGATGAATTCTGAGTTTATAAGCTTTCAAATGATACCTAAATTATGATAACTACTAAAATATGTGATATAATAAAAAGGTGATATAATATTATAATATTAGATTTTAGAGGATAATAAAGATAAATATTATCATTGTTAGAGGATAATATTATATTATAATTTTTTATTTTTTATTCCAAAATACTAGATTATATTTTTTATTGTGAACTTTTAGCATAAAAACAGAAGTTTCAATGATTAAAAGTGGGTGCATCGACTTTTTGTCACAAAGGTCAAAACTGCTGTTATGATGCAGATTTTTTGAGGTGCACTCTTGTCATAAATTCATCAATTACTCTTCCTACATAATTTGTAACACAAAACAGGGGTAGAATATCTATTTAGAAGTCTTAGACCTTTCCAACGATATATAATTTGTCATAATTAGATTAGGATTTAATAGAAATATAGTGAAGTAAAGTTAGGTGTCCTGGCATCGGGGCGGGACATTTCCCGAACACGCACGAAGCGCTGCCAATCATAACACACTGGGCCAGCGAACCGATCACAGCATATTTCGCATTTTTGGAAGGAGGGGCTTCATCGAAAACAAGATGTTCAACCAGACTGGGGAGAGAGGAGCTGTAAAAATGTAAAATATGTGAAAAATAATGTGTTTTTGGAACAAAATTTGGATGTGTGATTGATAACAAGCTGAATATTAATGTCAATATGGAGACGATTTGTAAAAATAGCATTGCATGTATATTATATACTTTATATATATTTATACATAATTAATATTATGTATAAATATAAATATTTAATATATTAAGAACACATTTTTCTTAAATATATACATGCATGTGTGGGTATTTATATATACAAATTAATTATACACACCACACACATATATATATCATGTAAACACAAACTTTTATTTTGGATGCTATTAATCGCGATTAATCGTTGCCCATCGCTATTTGCATACATTGTTTGCAATGTTGAGAATTCTCAATAAAAAGTCATACACCGACGAATATTAATAATTCAGTGGACAGGGCAGGTAATGATGCACATGTTTTCAAGCATTCCAGCTTAGAAGTGTTCACTAACACCAGAAGGGCCAAAGGACTCTTATCAGCAAACTTTGTGTGTGTGTGGGTGTTTTCTTTGTTCTGTGTTTTTTTTTTTATTCATTCATGCGATTATGTAACATTTAGATGTGTGTCATTTAACCATTTATTCATTTTTATTATTTTACTTAGGCTATTTTCCTGTGCATTTTGTTGTTGTTTCATTCAATGATTGTGTGGTTTCATGAGATATTTTCCAATGTCTCCATTTTAAATTTTTTTTAAATGTCACACAGGATGATTTTTAAGTGCTTTTGCTTTGATAAACTGACTCGCATCCATCAATGAGCAATACTTACGATTCCAGTACACCGGATAGCACTCTTTATTCCTCACATCCACTTCATAGAGTCCTCCTCTCACACACACTGCTTCGACACTGACGTCCACGCCGTCATGCCTCTGGTCTCCATGCGTCTCCAGTGACGGGTCTCCTCCGTCCAGACCATCATCTTCGAGAAGCTCCTCTCCACCACGGTTTAAAACCCTTTCCGGGTTTCGCTCTCTGAAGACGCGATACATGACTTCGATCCTGAGAGAGTCGTGCCCCATGAAGGGCTTCCATGTCTTTTTGTCCTCCTTGTAAAACCACCTGACCTCCTCCGGTCCCAGTTCGGTGACCACCTCGAACCGGCGTCTGGAGGAGCTGGAGCGTTTCCGGACGTCGAGCAGACGGTTCTTTTCCTGGTAGTCGGAGGCAGGGCTTGTGCAGTAGCTCGTGTCGGAGTTGTGGAAGTAGCTGGCGACTGAAGTTGTGCTTAGGTCCAGATGGCCCGTGGGAAGGATGTCCGAATCAGGACTTTTGAGTCTCAGCGCCATTCTGTCCCGTGGTGAAGTGTGTGTGTTCTTCTCTGGCTGCAATGCGTGCATCCCTCTCCCACTGGATTCATCGTAGAGCCTGATGAAGTCATCGCTCCAGTCTCTATTGCCAAAAGACAGTTTATTGCCAGGACTGTTAATAAACCGTGTCTTCTTAGTACGACCGCTCATAACTCCTTGCTTGTGGAGCGGCTGTCCCAATCGGAGCTGACCTCAGTGACGTCATTTAACAAGGGCTAAACCTCAAGGGTTATAACCTGACACTAATATCTAACATCTAAATGACATGTCATTAAGCTGGTTCTCTCAAAAGTTATTCCAGGGAGTGACGTTCGTTCAAAGTTACCTGGGCTTCTCCAAATGTTAGCACAAAAACATTGTGTATACGTCATAATAGAACGTTCAGAACACATTCAAAAGTAGCATTCGCACAATGTTTACAAAATGATCAAATAGAACGTTCGCATAAACACGAGGAAATGTTTTAAAAACGTTTCCAAATCTTGTCGTTTAGGAACGACGTTTTCAGAACGTTAGCAAAACGATGTCAGAATGTGTTTTTGTTAGCTGGCTAACTTACCTGGCAATAAGACGTCATAGCACAATAAAAAGTCAACTCACCACGTTTAAGCGCACATTAAACGAGTATATGTCATGCTGTTTAGCTGTTTTACAGCGACTAGGTAAGTCTGACACACCGCACTGGCTCCTGCACTATACCGGATTTTGCTCGTGCAAACCTGCCGTCAACCGGAGCGCGTCATTTCACAGAATCACGCTCTTCCGCTCTGTTTAACCACAAATCAGTCCGTGTCACAAATAGAAACATAAGCCTGTGCAGTATTCCAGCCATGCTGAGGGTGGAGGGAAATACACTGACCTGCTGGCACACTGACAAGTGCGGGATGTGCGATGCGATCTCACGTCACAGCCCACGCCGTGCGTGAGCGGTCACGGAAGAACGGACGCGTCCTGAACTTGTTGTTCCTGGGCTGTTCACCTGCGGGAGCGCGCACGTACTCGTGAACGCGCTCGAGGTCTACACGTGTGCGGTGAATCGCTGTTAATTCAAATTAATATTTTTGCATAAAAAATTCAAGAACTGTAGGTTTTTAAATAGACGCTATGATGGCTGTGATGTGCAGTAATTCTTTCAAATTATGAAATATGATGATGATTTTTAGGTTCTTGCTATTTATTTGATTTTCTTTAAAAAAATATATATATAGTTTGAACCTTAAACATTAGGGTTGCCAGTGCCACCCAGGATCCTTAAATGGGCTTGATGCATGAAACACGAAAACACATCTCAATTTGTATTACCACGTCTACATGTGAATTTAATCTACAATGCATCCACAAAAATGCGTTACACAATCCCACAAGTGACTACAGAAAATGAAAATTAGGGGAAACCAGAAAATGCATGAATGATAGAATTTAGCAGAAAATGAGTGAATTGATTTAGACCATTTCACAAGATGTAAACAACACTGGTCCAGAAGTTTGTAACTGTTTTCTTTATTTCACATATAAAGAAAACATATTAAAGATGTTTGTTTAACTTTTTGATTCAGTTTTATATGTTCTGTTGGTTTTATTTTATCCCAGCTTTTATGTAGTGTTAAAAAACTGAAACAGGAAGTGCTTCTGGACCAGTGTTGTTTACATCTTGTGAAATGGTCTATACCTCAAATTTTGGTTGAACTATCTTTCTTTACTAAGGTAATAACAAAAAATGTTCACAAGATGCCGCTGTTGTCTTGCTACTGACCATCAGAGATGAGTTCTGTGTTTTGTAGTGTTTCTTGGGTTGGGCTGAACCTGCTGTCCAAGAATTTGGCGTCCTAAATTTAGACTGAAATCAAATTTGACAATACCTTTTAAATGGACTAGATTACAGTGTTTATAATAAATGATTTATCCCTGCACATACTTTTTTAAAATTCATGTTTCTGGTCATCTTGAATCTTTCTCTCTCAGCTTGTCTTCTCTTTTCTGATGATGAGGGCGGGGCTATAACCTGTCACTCACATGAGATCAGCCAATAGCAAACCACAACCATCCAATCAGTTCCTACATTTGGTCTTATTCCTTCCAGATGCGTTTCACTCAGATTTACACAATAAGGAAGAAAAGATTGTCGCAACTGCCATATCATGTTGACTTTAAACCATTCATCAATTAAGGTGCGGTCAGCAATTTCTGAGAAACTGTTGAGAGTGGATCGCACCACAATACACTTGAGGCCAATCAGAAGTAAAGGCCTGGGGGACCCTGGGCTTGAGCTTATGTTTGGGCACATCATCATGTGCACAAATTACACAAAAATTCAAATATGCTTTGAGGTTCCTAGAACAATTATTATGTAACATGCCTATAGTCAGAGTTTAGTGGTAGGCTAATATTAAATAGTCATCATAATACAATTTAATGCAGGATGTGCTCTCTTAGTTGAGAGAAGATCAATATTAATGTTCAGCATGCGCGTAACATTCAGCGCACGTCTTCCTCTGCTTGTACACAGAAAGTTTTGCGCTTCCGGCTATATCAGCACATCATCACGTAATTACGTTCAAAAGGTCACGGGCGACGTAGCCGGAAGTACAGAGTCAGTGTTTACAAGTTGAACGCATAGGTTGAACGTGCAAACTAACTCAAACGCCGTTTACAAAAAAAGGAATTAAAAGGTAAAACAACGATGTCGGACGATTTTGATTCTGTACTTCCGGCTACGTCGCCCGTGACCTTTTGAACGTAATTACGTATTACGTGACGTTGCAAACGCGCCTCTCAGAATAGAGCAAGGCTAGCATTTGTCCTTAGAAAAGTTACATTTTTGGAATAAGTTTTGAAATAACCGATCGTTTCGCATGATAAGACCCTTATTCATCGTCTGGTGTCGTTTAAAGACATTTGAAGCTGCATCTGAAACTGTTATTAACTGTCTTTTGGACCTCAGTTGGACCTGGTTCCCATTGAAGTCCATTATAAGGAGAAAAATCCTGGAATGTTTTCATCAAAAACCTTAATTTCTTATCGACTGAGGAAAGAAAGACATGGACATCTTGGATGACATGGGGGTGAGTAAATTATCAGCAAAAGTTTTTTCAAAAGTGAACTAATCCTTTAATTAAAGATGTAGATGGTACTGAATGCCAGCTTGCCATTTTTTGGCTGAAGATAAGGATTTATTGAGTCCACATGTCATGCAAACAAGAGACTCTGCTTCTAACCACAGGTCGAGAATATGTCGTTCCAAACACACAACTTTGCAGTGCTGTTTGCGAATGTTCGTTGGAACGATGGTTTCGGAAAACACAACGACATAACTTGCGATTTAAACCTGCTGTCCAAACGTGCAGTCCTAGATTTACATTGGTGTGCCTCAATATTAAAGGGTTAGTTCACCCAAAATGAAAACTCTGTCAGTAATGACTCTCCCTCATGTTGTTCAACCCCGTAAGACCTTCGTTCATCTTCAGAACACAAATTAAGATATTTAAGATATTAAGATCACTCCTGCATACTAGTCCATAGGCTTCTTGAGGGAATGACTCCTGCTGGCATCAAAAAGTTATTTTAAAGACATCGTTAAAATAGTCCAAGTGACTACAGTGGCTCAATTTTAACTTTATCAAACGACGAGAATACTTTTTGTGGGCAAAAACAAACAAAAATAACGACTTTATTTCAACTATTCACTTCCTTCTCCGTGAGCCTGTAGTCAGTTAACGTAGTGTGATTGCGTAGAGCTACGTCACACGTAGACTCACTATTGGCCGACGCTGGTCATGTGTGCGATGCGTGTGACGTACAATAACAGAAGCTTACGCTATTAAACTAGTAACCTGACTCGCGCAGAGGGAGAAATAAACGAATAGTTGAAATAAAGTCGTTATTTTTGTTGTTTTTGCGCACAAAAAGTGTTCTCGTCGTTTGATAAAGTTAAAATTGAGCCACTTGGACTATTTTAACGATGTCTTTAATGACTTTTCGAGGCCATCAATAGTCATTCCCTCAAGAAGCCTATGGACTAGTATGCAGGAGCGATCTTAATATCTTAAATATCTTAATTTGTGTTGCGAAGACGAACGAAGGTCTTACGGGGTTGGAACAACATGAGGATGAGTAAATACTGACAGAATTTTCATTTTTGGGTGAACTAACCCTTTAATGTTGAGCCCCAGCTCTTGGACTATACACTAACAGGCCCTATATAGGCAGCTGTCATGAAACCTACTTTGGGGCAACAACTCATGTGGGCTCATGTGGGAATGTCAAGAGGCCCGACCAGGCCCCCGTACACCATTGTTCTTTCAGCCATGTTTCCATGGAAGCTAGAGCTATGCTGTGTGTTGCTCCTCATATAGTACGTTGCTGTGATTTGTGTTCAGCCAGTCTAGATGATTTCTGTGCAGAGAACAAAATGGATGTGTCTGCTCATACTGTTTACATGGTCTGTGAGACTGACTTTGGTTCAACTGTCTAGCTAATGTTCTACAAGTGTGCAGCTGTTTTCAGACTGCCTGCGATGTTTATACACATACGCCATTATTACAACAACAGAAATGCTCCAGCTTCTGCTGATATACGAGTCAAATAAAGCTAAACACATTGCTTTTGTTTACTTTAATCCCTAAAAGCTGCATTAGGTTACACTAATTGATTTACGATAAACGTCTGGCGTTTTAGGGCACATCTGGTGTGAGTCTGCGAATGAAGGAAGGGAGAGTTTGTGAATATGCGGGAATTCATGTTGAATCTTCCTGTTTATGACATATGCGTGTCTGTGCATGTCAAGAGCATTTGACCGTAGGAAAAAAAAACCCTCTTTAATATACAATGAGATAAAATTGCGTGTTTATGTGAGTGCCGTTTTATGTGTGTGATGTTGCATGTGTGCTGGACATCGGATCTGTTGCTCGCACATTCCACGCTTGCAGGTGGTCTGTCCGCGCTCGGGGTCAAGCAGGGGATTTCATATTTCATAGGAACGCAGCATGCTCTGGACAGCGTCATTGAGTCCACATGGAAAGCAGGACGTTCTGTTGTGAACACTTGGCTCGAAGCCACTGCCCTTCGGCCTCGTCTAGTGTGCACTCGCTCGTACTCACTATTACAAACTGGTCACGCAGGTACAGAGGTCTTCCCAGCTAACATGTTATATTATGGGGTAATACTTTACTTCGACAGTCCAATTTAGACATTCTGCTAAATACACGTACGTTGCACCTACATGTCAACTAGTAATATAATCTGCTTAAAGGGTTAGTTCACCCAAAAATATTTGGATTTACTCACCGTCATGTTGTTCCAACCAAGACCTTCGTTCATCTTCAGGACACAAATTAAGATATTTAAGATATTAAGATCGCTCCTGCATACTAGTCCATAGGCTTCTTGAGGGAATGACTTGCTGGCCTCGAAAAGTCATTAAAGGACATCGTTAAAATAGTCCAAGTGACTACAGTGGCTCAATTTTAACTTTATCAAACGACGAGAACACTTTTTGTGCGAAAAAACAACAAAAATAACGACTTTATTTCAACTATTCGTTTATTTCTCCCTCTGCGCGAGTCAGGTTACTAGTTTAATAGCGTAAGCTTCTGTTATTGTACATCACACGCATCACACACACATGACCAGCGTCGGCCAATAGTGAGCCTACGTGTGACGTAGCTTTACGCAATCACACTACGTTACCTGACTACAGGCCCATGGAGAAGGAAGTAAATATTTGAAATAATGTCATTATTTTTGTTTGTTTTTGCGCACAAAAACTGTTCTCGTCGTTTGATAAAGTTAAAATTGAGCCACTGTAGTCACTTGGACTATTTTAACGATGTCTTTAATGACTTTTCGAGGCCAGCA